GGTTGACAGACATAATCCAGATAACTTGTTCTATGAAAACAATAAAGTTATTTCCAGACTATGTGATGTTTTAACAGTTACAGAGTAAATTTCATCCTGTTTTCCCTGCAGAATGTGAATGGTATAAAATACCATGCCAAGAACGGCCACAGAACACAGATCCGTGTGCGGAAGCCGTTCAAATGCCGTTGTGGAAAGAGTTACAAGACAGCTCAGGGTCTGCGGCACCACACAATCAACTTCCACCCCCCAGTGTCTGCTGAGATTATCAGGAAAATGCAGCAATAACATGCTGGTCACAACTGTGCCAAGGAATCCTCACCAGCATTTGCTGATTTTGAAGACAGCCACCTTCTCCGGGGAAGCACTGAGCAACCCTTTAAAACAATTTAAATGCATGCTTTACAATTTTTTCTGTAATTTTGGAATGATGTATCTTTGTAGAGTTAATGATTTTTGTACATTTGCACATATAATCATCGTGCTCATATACATTACTTTGATATAAAGGTGCTAAAAGCTACAAGTTTTTTTTCAAGTATTTCCCCCCAGAAAGGAGAATTAGAGGATGCTGTTTAGTCCTGCAGTGTTAAATAAGGATGGGAAGAGGAAGAAAGCTTGGCACTGCAAAACTTCAAGATTGTAATGTGATTGAAGAGATTCAACACATCCGTTCCCACGTGCTTGCAAAACCAAAACAATCCCCCATTATCCACCTGGTTAAATATGCCTTATGTAATAGAGTTATCTGTGGGATAGCAAGGTTTTAGGTATTGGAATTATAAATAAAGAGAATGTTTAACATATACTAAGAATATTTTCATACTCAAATAACATACATTAAAAAGTGTGCTTGCTGTATTTTATATTACCTTGCAATTTCTTTAGTTCTCTGAAATGCTGAAAATCTTTGCATCTGAAATAGTAAACCACGTTAGCGTTAGGATCCCTACTTCTCTGTATACAGGATGTGATGTAAATGTCAACTCCCAGCCAGATCCCATGAACCCAGGTCCTGTTATTAATCCCCAGTATCAACTGCTAAGAAGACACTAGGAGATGGAGCGCAAATATTACAAGGGAGAAATTCTCTTCATCTGAGATGAAGCTCTGAAAGCACTTTGTAGTTCTTGATTGCCAACAAATTTAAATGTTTTTGTGTTGCCAACAGTTGCAGCTGCTAACTAGTACTGACAAGTGGTTGCAAATAAAAAAAAACCTAGGCATGATTTTGAGAGGTACACTATCTGTGTTGAGGAAGTTTCCATTTCCATTTCCAGTGGACCTTCCAAGTTTTTTTTTTGTATATATAATATATATATTTTATAACTTTCTGTGGATTGTTGCATTCCGCAAGTTTAGCGTTAAGAATTTCTTTCTGAACTTTTGAGACATCATGAGCCTTACTGAAAATGAAGTGCTTCTTGGAGCAGGTACTCGAAAGAGAGCCCCGAAAAAAGGGCTGTCGCAGAGTTACTTGTGTCTGGACCATACCTAAATGCATCACTTGTTTTATGCTCTCCTGCCTTCTCCTCTGGGGTAAGTGCTAGCAAAAATGAACCCATTTAGTATGCAAAAGTGGCATTAATTTTAAAAAATTGGGAATTTTCCTCCCTTTTGGGAAAACTGTTTTAAGTTTCGACAAGTAATCCTCTTTCGTGTATTTTGTATTTATATATGACATGGGAAATTTGAGTCTTTGTTCTTTTAGAATATAAGAGATTGCAAGAGCAAAGAGTCTAACTAGGTAAAAGTTAAGATTGTTCTGAATTTTTAAATCTCTCATAATGAGGGTTGAAGATTTTAAAACAAAGCCGTGTTTAAACAGATTGCCCCAAACTCATTTGGAATACAGTACGTTGTGTTGCACAAATACCAATGTACAGGATTTGTGTTCCACAAATACCAGTGTACAGGATGATCCAGACATGAAATTACTATCTGTTGCTCGTACTTAAAGCCCTGTTACCCACCTCCTTTTGACCATCGTTTAGCCTGTTCTGAGTGAAAGACATGAAGGCAGACTAAACAAAGTAATGTTGTTGCATGTGCTTTCCACAATTCAATCCAGTTACTATTTACCTAGTCATTGTGACAGTATTAGACAGGTAAAAATGGGACTATTTTGTTATACTGTGTATAGTGAGAGTATTGTACTGTGTCTGTGAAAATGTGCTTTAAATTATATTTTCCTATATTTTGTTGGGGACAGAATCCATTAAGTTTGGACGTCACAGGAAGTTTGTTTTAGAACTGAACACCACAAAAGTGCATCAAAAATGTCATTCAATAAAGCTGCTTAAAAATGTAAATTGAATCATCTTTAATAAATTGCCTCTGACTCAAAATGAAACTGGTTATTGCTTTTAAGTGTAAAGACCCTGTGATAGAAGATGAAAATCATGTTTTTGGTTTTAGTAACAGGAGTGGGAAAGTCATAAAGCAGGGATGGGTATTTGAACAGGAAAGCGGGCAACAGCAACATCCAAAGCTGTCGTAGATATGCAGGCTTCCAAAGATCTCCAGGTTGACTTTTAGCTTCTTAATATCAGGTGGTTACGTCAGAGATAAAATCTGAATGTGAACACAATGCATTATAGCCAGTAGGGATTCTGAATTCATAAACCAAAAGAAAGTCTAAGCATTACTGAAAAGAAGATAATTGGTTTTTAAAACTTGGAAGCATATGAGGCACTATTTATTTATCGTATCAGGAGCAAACCAAGGGTACAGTTGTGATGAAGTTGAGAAAACATATCTCAACTGTATATTAAATATCCTTTGACCAGTAACTGGCCACTTGGAGTGCCTCTGGTGTTGCTATAAGGTCCTCCATTGTGCATGTGACAGGGCTCAGGCTGCGTTGTAATAGGCAGCACTGATGGAGAAAGATATTCAAACTATGTACCGTAAACCATGCTTTTGAGCCCCCCCCCCAAACACACACACACACACACACACACACACACACACACCTCAGCCAGGCCTTGGAAAACAGTCCACTTAAAGCTGGAAAACCTTTCCTTGATACGGAGAAAATAATTTGATATTATTTCCTTTGCTGCCTTGTTCCTCCTGCTACTGTTCCTTCTTCCACTGTAATAAGACCATTATAAGATGCCCGACAGAAAAAGACTAACACTCTGTGTCAGTGGTTCTCAACCTGTGGGTCCCCAGGTGTTCTGACCTACAACTCCCAGAAATCCCAGCCAGTTTACCAGCTGTTAGGGTTTCTGGGAGTTGACGGCCAAAACATCTGGGGACCCACAGGTTAAGAATCACTGCTCTAGGTGAGAAAAAAWGATTTGTGGAACTTGTTTCCAAAAGGCATCAAATCCCTCTGAATAAATATTACAGGAATTAAAAAAACATGGATATGCATTCCTTTGCTATAAAATGCAAAAGTCAACTTATCAAAAAGCAAAATTCAAGAAGGTAGAAGAAATAAAAACAAGGAGAAGGCATCTCACAAGAGGAGTGAAATGAACCAGCACCTGCAGTGATCAGATAACCTCTCTGCTGGATGGGGAAGAGGTTCATCTTTCATTGCTGGAAATTAATGTATCACTATTAAAAATCAACATTTCTTTCCTCCGAAGTGCTCTGAGCTTCTGCTCCTCATGAGCAAAGTTACTCAACAGAAGGGAAGTGTGGCAACCTTAGCCACTGATTGACATTAACCTCTAGGGGGGGGGGGAGAGAGAGAGAGAGAGAGAGAATCAGCATCACTAACCCTTCCTGTAATTTGCCTTGCTGAGGTTGCCAGTGACTGCTCTTTCGGAAGAGAGGCTTAATTGCAGCTCATGCAACATGGGAACTGAGCACTTGTCCTTCCATTGATACGGTATAGTGTGAGCCGATTGCTTTCCTGTTTTGGCTTGAAGGAAGGAAAGTCTGTCCAGGCATACTACCATGGTACTGGTAGCAGGGCTGCTGCTGCTCTTCAGGTCCTCGGTCACATCCCTGGCCTCCTCAACAGGCTGGACTCTGATGGTGCAAAATGGAACCCTGCATGGACTTCCCATTGCTTCTTGAGTCCATGACTCAGAGGAACCAGAAAGGAGAGCAAGGCCTCAAACATGCAACTTACTAAGAATGGAATCAAGGGAGATAGATAAAAAATATCCACTTGGGAGAGTTTCATCATCATGTAGTTTTTGTTGTTGTAACAGAGACATTGTAAAGTCAAGAGAAAAGTCATCTATAGGGCTCGAGGGAGAAATGAAGACTGGCCTTATTAGCAGTTCTCACTAGAGGACATGCATCAAGCTCAAGGTCCATGGGTCGAATCCATTCCACCATATAATTTTATGTGGCCCTCCAAGATGTTGGGCTACAACTCCTGTATTCCTCATCATTGGTCATCACAACTACTGTTGATGGAAGTTGTGATAGAGTAACATTCAGAAGGCTGCAGTTTGTTCTGTTTAGTCAGGATAGTGAGGTTTGAGTTTAGATACAAGGCTTGAGGATATGACGCCTGACTTCAAAATGTCCTTTAACCTTCTCACAACCTCAGAGTGCAGTTGGGTTGCATTCTCATTATCCACAGTCCACATAGTGAATAATCAAAAGTGATGGGAGTTGTTGCTCAATAACATCTGGGGAACCACACTGGGTAAATAGCACTGAACACTATGTAAAAAAGCTGCAGTTGGTTCTCTATATCTACAGATTCTCCATTCATGGATCAGGTTGATGTGGCCCTCAATGAAAACGAGTTTGACACCCCTGCACTTGGAGATGTTTCTCAAAGATCCTGCTTATCAGGACACAAAAATCAAATAACTCATCTCAGGATGTCCAACCTTCACTGCTGAGAGTTGCTTCAGAATACAAAAAGAAGTCGGGATAATCTGGATGCAAAGATCCTCTTGTGTGAACGGAAGGCCCACCCATCTTCCCACTGACTGCTTCTGAAAAACTTGTTTGGAAAATCACAGCCATGATTTATGGCACTTCAGCAACACAAGTGGGTCAAATAAAGCACACAATCCATATTTTATTTTTATTTTTAATCTGACTATTGTACAACAGATGAAAAGTGAATAATTTTATCCAAAAAGATCAAATTGCCTACTAAAGATTAAGTAACTCTTCAAAAATATAGTTTTAGATATACACATCACAAATGTAAAGGGGAAATGTGCAAAGTAGAATGCAGAAAATTAAAAAAAAAAAACAAAACCTCCTTTAGTCCTATGAACGCAATTGGCAAATCCACCCAGAAAAGGAAAGAGGTGATGCACACAAATTAAAAATCTGAGTACAAAGAAAGCCAAATGCACCAATTTTATACAATTATCTTCTAATACCTCTAAGTTCAGAACTTTTTAACAGATTCAGAGTGAACGTGACACTTGCAAGAAGAGATAGTAATTATGCAAAACTAAATGTAATCATAACGATGTTTTGCAAGCAGGAAATCTTAACATGGTTACGTTCCTGAAACAGATGTAAAAACCATACTTTCGTTGAATAAATTTCAGAATCAAGAATGACATGAAAGGTACACACAAGTTTACTGAGAAACCTCATTTTATTATAATGGATTTCTTTATCTAATTGTATGGATGTCTTTATCTAATTATACATCAGCACAAGCAAGAGCAAACTCGTGTCATTCTGTGAACGTACCACGGCCACAGTTTGAACTGCTCAAATTTCTCAACAGGTCGGTGTATTTCCTGTGTTCGATGCAATTTGTTAGCTTGGGAATAAATACTGATAGATATTATAACAGCTTTGGGAATACGCAAGATCAAGGGAGGCTAACCAAACAGTTGCTAATGGGCCAAAGGTTGGATTTAGTTCAGTTGCAATGCAGAGCACTGTGCCTATAAATAAGAAGTCTGCCTCGAGTTCTAAAAGCTGCATTCTGTCACCTTACAGAGCTTATTTGATTTGTCTAAAGCCAAACTGCCCAAGCTACTCAAAATTCAAGACATTCTGGTCAAAATGTGTCTGAACATGCCTTTCAAAATTCTGCTGGTCATAATCAGGGGGAAACTGTTCGCAGCACATCGGGCACACCTTCCAGTGACTTTCAACATGTTCTTCAAACTTCGACTGATCATAGTTCGGAGGAAACTTCACTTGGCAGAGAGGACACTTCTTGATGTGCACAAAACTTGGGATAAAAACAGAGAAGAACCACAATTGAGGGCAGAACACAAGTCGGAAGCAGAGCCTGCTCTAACATTGCCATTAAGCAATTCAGAAGTAAGCGCGGAGACATTCTGAAGTCTTCTTAATGTTTGCACCTCATTAATAATAAATAATAACTTTCTTTTTATACCCCACTTCCATCTCCCCAAAGGGACTCTGGGCGGCTTACATGGGGCCAGGCCCAATCTCACAGAGTTAAAACATAGCATGTAAAAATATGACAACGGTGTAAAACAACATAAAACAGCATTATAACAATTATAAACAGGCATGATAAGCAACAACCAAGAATATACATCAAGTCTCATTGTGAGAGGGCAGCTGGTGTGCAAACAAGTTAGAAAATAGGCTAGTCAATAAGGTACATACGTCATATAGCAGCGTAAGGATAAGAGTGGGTATAACAGGGTCATTATGGCTTTGAATAATGCAGTAGTAAAAGTGCAAGGACTTAAGTATTAGGCCATGGTTAGGGCCAACTGCCAGGGAATTGTCTAATCAAATGCACAACGGAACATCCACATCTTTAGTTCCTTGCGAAATGTGGATAGGGAGGTTGCTAGCCTGATCTCCCTGAGGAAGGAGTTCCAGAGCCAAGGGGCCACCACTGAGAAGGCCCTTTCTCTCATCCCTACCAACTGTGCCTGAAACAGGTGGGAGCAAGAGAAGAGCCTCACCAGAAGAGCTTAAGAGATCGTGTGGGCTCGTAGGGGAAGATACGGTCACCAAGGTAGACAGGTCCCAAACCATTTAGAGCTTTATAGGTGATAACGTGCACCTTGAATTGGGACCAGAAACTTATCAGCAGCCATAGGAGCTGTTTAAACATGGGGGTTGACTACTCCCCTTTATTAGCCCTTATAAAGGGATTTCTACATAATCAAAATCAAAATAACCCACTAGCAATGTAATCTTTGCAAAGTATGAGTTTTTGGCTCCTTCACATACTGCTGGATGCTTTCAAATACATAGGGGAAAAGGTTGGAGGGAATATATTATTTTACTCCATAAGATTAAATGTTCCCCTTCTGTAGCATTCACTTCATGCATTTAGTATAAATGATCTATTTAGTTTTCATTCACAGATTATACCTACACCCTCTGTTTTATCATTGGGATCACCATGGAGATCTTGAGATGGTCTCAAGCTGGGGTAACATGGTCCCTTCCCTACATTGTATTTCCATCAATGGTATTCCTTCCATTTGTATCTATAACTAGCATAGTTGTATCTTCCACATCCTTCCTCCAGTTTATATCTATAGGTAAGTAAATTCACTATAATGATAGCTGGGGTAAAGGTTTCCCCCTGACGATAAGTCCAGTCGTGCCCAACTCTGGGGTTGGGTGCTCATCTCCATTTCTAAGCTGAAGGGCTGGTGGTGTCCGTAGACACCTCCAAGGTCATGTGGCTGACATGACTGCATGGAGCGCTGTTATCTTCCCACTGGAGTGGTGCCTATCGATCTACTCACACTTGCATGTTTTTGAACTGCTAGGTTGGCAGAAGCTGGGGATAACAGCGGGAGCTCACCATGTTCCTCACATTTGAACTTGCAACCTTTCAGTCAGCAAGTTCAGCAGCTCAGTGGTTTAACCCACATTGTGTATATAGGGAAAAACAGTAATATTGCAGGACTCAGCATTTAATAGGAGCCTCTGTCACGCATACAACAAACTGTTAACTACTACCACAATACCGATGAGATGAGAAGGCTTCATTTTCTCCAGGCTAAAGGGCTGTGATTGAAAAAATTGGATGGGGGTTATAACATGAGGCCTAAGCTACCTGGTGGCACTTGTGGTTTGTTTTGTGTTAACAGCACAAAATAAAATAAAAATGAAGTATAAGCATCTAGGAAATCTCAACATTTCAAGCTGGTGGTTTTTATATTGCTACATGTATGGCATGTTACCTTACCTGGAATCAAAGCAAAAGCCTGTTCCGCGTTCATGCAAGCGGGGGTTTGGTGGCTCAGGGTCAGATGGTGCACTTGCCCCATCATCCTGCAAACAAAGTTCTAGATGTTTATCACTTTATTTGGCATCAAAACAAGAATGACTGATCATGAGTAGCACCAGCAGCATTTGCAGATTTTTATAAAGACCTAAGAAAAAGACCTTTTGATCTGGTTGCACTGAAGCTCCCTATCATTCTTACCTATTGGCCAAGCTACCAAAGGCTGAAGAGAATTGCGGATCCAGCAAGATCTGGAGAGCCACAAACTGCCCAGCACTCATTTAAATAACACAAGCCAACAAGTATTTTTCATCAGATATAATTTTAGGTCATTCTTATAGAGTTTTTTTTTTGTACTGAATTCAGATTTGTGTTTATTTTTCCTCTATCACATGTAGTTTTTGTGATGAGGCTCATTGAATAATTGATGCATTTATGAACCGATATCAACAGAATCTAATTGATATCAGTGCATAAATGCATTAATTATTCTATTAGCCTCCTTGCAAAAACTACACGTGATAAGAGAAAAATATACAGATCTGACTGCAGTGCAAAAATCTCTATTGGAATTAGCTAAAATCATGTCTAATGAAAACTACTCGTTGGCTTGTGGTTAATTAGATTCTATTGATCAGTGTGTTACGTGCACTAATTATTCAGTTAGCCTCATCGCAAAAACTGCACGTGATAGAGAAAAAATAAACACAGATCTGAATTCAGCGCAAAAAAAACTCTTCAAGAATGATCTAAAATTATATCCGATGAAAAATACTTGTTGGCTTGTGTTACACAAATATGATGTGAAATGTGCAGACTTTACAATAGTCTGCTTTAATGTACCATTCATCGTATTTTTAAAAGTTAACTTGATGGGAAAAAATAAAGACATATTTAAAATCAGCATAGAACATGATTTAAACTGTGCTACTCTTATTTCTAATTATTTTGTTGGCTTGTATAATCTATTCTTTTCTGTGGTGCTCAACTAAAACAAACTTTACAATTGTTACTGGAAAACAGCTGCAAGCAAAAAATTGATGGAACAAAATGAAGGGCCCAAGATTAAATCAAAACTCAATTTCATGCACTTCTTAAATTAAGTGAAATTCAACTGATATACATCCTGGAAGAGACCTCATTGGCCATCCAGTCCAACCCAGAAACACAGAATCAAAGCACTACTGACAGATGGCCATCCAGCTTCTGCTGACAAATATATTTGTATGAAATACAGAATAATAATAATAATAATAATAATAATAATAATAATAATAATAATAATAATCTTTATTTATATTTGCTCTATCTCCCCAGAGAGACTCAAGGTGGATTCCAAACATAAAAGGCAAATTACAATACATCCATACTAACAAAATTTAAACAGCCCAACATATAAAGACAAATTATGACTTATCAATTAAAATTAAATAAAAAACACAGCCTGTTATCACAGACGGAAGACAAAATAGAAGGAGGATAGAGGTCACTGATTTTTAAACCAGGAGGCTCTATGCAGTTAGCATTTGCGTTAGCAAGCTATGCCACTGCTACCAACAAAGCACAGCATATGCCAGCCTGCAGTCAAACCAATAAACTAAAGTGCCATCTTTGATGGGTTCCTTTAATCAACACTGTCAGTCCTACTCTAGCTTCACAATAACATATAGCGCATAACTATTGCAACTGATGAAACTCAGGATGCTGACAGGATTATCAAGACAGTCTGGGAGTCTTGCTATAAGTAAACGATGAGTACTCTAGGTATATTCTAAACAATTTTAAATGTCAGCATGTCATTCACAAAATTGTAAGTTCCCAACTGTTAATAGTTTACAGTGAGTAAGAGCAAAGGGCAGACAATAGGACTTATTCCATACTGCTGTTGAAGTACCACCCACTTTAAACCTTACAGTAGGAGCCAATAGGAATAGGAAGTATTTAACACAGCATAGTAAGGTAAAAGCTTCCCCTTGACATTAAGTCTAGTCATGTCCAACTCTGGGGGGTGGTGCTCATCTCCATTTCTAAGCAAAGAGCCGGCGTTGTCCACTGACACCTCCAAGGTCATGTGGCCAGCATGGAGTGCTACTACCTTCCTACCGGAGCGGTATTATTTATTATTTATTAACTGCATTTCTATACCACTTTTCTAACCCCTGGGAGGACTCAAAGTGGTCTACAACATAATAATTGGCAAATTCAATGCCTCACATATATACAAAAATATCACATATCCAAATCAGTAACATATAACTGTAGAAAATAACAATTAAAACTATAAAACATCAAACATAGGCATAAGCATGAAACATATTACTGCTACAATTAAGAATGTAGACCCCTTCTCTTCCCCCCCCCCCCCCCAATCTCTCTCCATAGAGTTTTAGCCCTTCTTTTTATACCCTCCTTGCTCCCCCATCCCACCAGACACAAAGTTATTTAGGTACAGATTGAACACAAAATGGAGAGGGTAAAAAAAACACATCCTGGGCCTTTTTGAGGGATGGTAAATGTGATACAGTACCTATTGATCTACTCACATTTGTATGTTTTCAAACTGCTAGGTTGGCAGAAGCTGGGGTTTCACAGCAGGAGCTCATGCTGCTCCCCAGATTCGAACTGCCAATCTTTCGCTAGCTAATACTAATTTTTGATGGTCCTATCCCCTAAGATATAATGCGCACAAAATACATGAGTTCAATAATATTTTGTCCTGTGCTTCATAGTATCAGAGTTCCCAGCATTAACTAATTTCTTGAACAGTTTAATGTTTAAGCAATGGGTGTAATCGCTTGCCCGTGTAATAGGCAACAAATACAATATGAATTAAGCTACACTGTGAAACATAGTCAGGAGTGCTGTGAACTTCATGACACAATTTCTTTGCACCCTTTAAGAAACACTTTAATAAGAAACATTCCTTTATAAAGTCCCGTGCTCTTTGCAAGTATAGTAGTATCATGACCTGCTTCTCATTTAGTCTAGTCTGCCACATTTAATTGCTATTAACCTTTGCAGAAGCTGATCATTGTTCAGACAGGCACGATTTTAGCCCCGGTGCTCAGTCCCAATAAGAGAGAAAAATGTATCTCTTCCTCCTGCCTTTTTGGCCCCCGAGTCCATTACCGTGAATAATTAGGGAAGCTGTCAGAACTTTTGCGGCCTGCTTAAGGTCTTAAATGCAAGCTTCGCGCAATTGCCTACCTTTACTTCACCGTTTGCATTTTTAATATGACCATTCTTGGCACAGACATTACAGATGACAAGCCCTTCTCCTCTTGAGTCATCTGCTTCAGTTTAATTAGCAGAGTGTTCTTTCTAATCTATGTGCTTTGCCCTCTCGCAAACCCAAGAGGAACAGAGCTAAAGTCTTGTGCTCATTTGCTGACACCGCTTAGATTTTGTAATGAGGTAGAAGGATCCTAATATGCTCAAATGGGAACCCACTTTGGGCAAGTGTGTGCCTGTTCTCAGAAGATTTTTCCTTGTCTTACATCAAGTCGAAGTTTAACATCTTCTCTTCCTACTTTTCTGCTTGTCAAGTGGAAATCACTTAATTGTTCCTAGGCAAGGCTGCTCAGTAGATGAGATAGGATGCTAACTACCTTGCACTGGTGCATAGCGGTCCTTGGCAAGCAACCTGTACAAATGAGCTGATTAAAATCAAAATACCCCCTTAAAAGTAAGCAAGCTGTGCAGTTTGTGGTGGGAAACCTTTCTTGGTATCTGTACATCATTTAGCATAACGAGCTATGAAAGGAGCAGATGAAGTTGTCAGAGACTTCCATTCTGCTTCAATGGGCTGTACATCCCAGCTTTGATCTTGATATAAGCATCCTCTGTATGCGCACTCATATTTTTGCTGTGCTAATGATAAAATATATATTCAAATCTTAATCCCAGCCCTTCTTGTGAAAAGGAGAGTTGCCTATTCATATTGTGCATGGAAAAGGCAGTTTTAGTTAAACCCTCCATACTTTTAAGAGGAAAGGAGCCTGCTGATGAGGAGTACACCTTAGAGATTTGTGCATGCATAACTGGGGAGCCTGAGAGCATCCACAATTCAGCAAGATTGAGTTTCTATGCAGTGTTAACGAGCTCCCGGTGGCACAGTGGGTTAAACCACTGAGCTGCTGAACTTGATGATGAAACGTTGGCGGTTTGAATCTGGGGAGTGCAATGAGCACCTGTCGTCCGGTAGGAAGGTAATGGCGCTCCATGCAGTCATGCTGGCCACATAACCTTGGAGGCATCTACGGACAATACCGACTCTTCGGCTTAGAAATAGAGATGAGTCCCACCCCCCAGAGTCTGACACAACTAGACTTAAAGTCAAGGAGAAACTTTTACCTTCACATATCACTTCCAGATTAGGAGTAAATGAAAATCCCACATCTATTAAGAGCATCACCTGAGATAGGGAAGAAGGACACACATCCCTCTGCCCTTGAACAGATGAACTGACAGGACTCTTACTGCATACCTTTGGTTATCTGCTATAATGATTTTGCTGCCATTTTATTTCCTGCCATGAGATTTGTTTTAATAGCAGCCAGAAAGGAAAATGTTCAAACTGTGAAATTGAAAGTTTTTACTTCACATGTGAAACAATCCAGTTATATTTATTCGTAGCTTACATTATTATCCTCAGGATCTTCTAAACCATCAGGCCGACTGAGGTTGCGAGCAGGCTGGCTGCACACTACATTGTCTTCCATTTCCCAAGAGGCTGCTCTTGAAGGAAGCCTTTGGATCTCATCAGGGTAAAAAGCACCATCTGCTCCATCTGTAGTCAAAAGTGGGGGAGGGATTCAAGGTATACATATACAGGCAGTCTCAGAGCTACAAACTTCCTAGTAATATGACTTCTGGTTACAAACAGAGGTGAGACAACAACAAGTGAGAGAAAATCTACCCCTAGGAAGGGAAATTCAGTCCTAAAAGAGTTATCATGGAGAAAAACTTTATCACCAATCCTTGTTTCCATGACAACCCAAAATTTTCAAAATCTAATTGTCACAGAGATAGAAAGTGAGGTGAAATCTTCTGAATTGGGACACAGACAAAAAACAAACAAACAAATGTTGCAGGGCTGTTGATGCTTCCCTATACTATCCAAAACTTAAAAAATGACTAGTTACACTTAAAAATTTACTTGTCCTGACTTATATACAAATTCTACTTAAGAACAAACCTACAATACATATCTTGTTCACAACCTGGGGACTGCCAGTACATTTAGGTGCTATTTAGAATAATAAGCCATGTTCCAGCAGAACTACTCAATCAAGAGCTTCATAAATACGATAGAGAACTTGGATGAAGTAAAAAAAAATGAACCCTTAACCCTCCCACATTAAAAACATCCTCACCCCCTTTATCTTCCTCTTCCTCCTCCTTGTTGCTGCCAGGATGGTGCTGCCTGTGGCGACGAGGAGCAGGAAGACAAAGGTAAAGAGGGTGAGGGAGTAGTCTTTTTCCCTCCTCACCCCTTTTATCTTCCTCTTACTGCTCCTCTTTGTCGTCGGGGCCTCTTGTCGCTGCGACACCTCCGCTGCCTCCTCAATCGCAAGGCCCAAACGGCAGCAAGAGGCCCAGGTGGCAACGAGGAGGAGGAAGAGAAAGGTAAAGAGGGTGAGGCGGGGAGGAGGCGTCCCTAAATCATGGTCTTTCACTTATCACGGGGGGTTCCTGGAACAGAACCCCCCAATAAGTGAGGGAACACTGTACCTTCAAACATGTTAGCTAAGGATTTTAAGTTACTGACTTCAGGTGCTAGATGAATGCAACTGCATTTCTGCTTGTAAGATTTTTCAATATAAACAAACAACAAGACAATATTTTCCAACCTCTAGTTTCCTGGGTCGAATAGGGGTTTCCATATTGCAGTACTGGTAATCTAGCTGGAATAGCAGGAACTGGGCCCTCTTCTTCAGGATTGAGGACTGGATTGAGAAAATACAACGCCTGCTGAGAAACCTGCCCTTCAGTGATTCTCTCTGTTTGATTTCCAGGTCTCCTTCTAGAATTCTGAAGAAAGGTTAAAAATATAGCTATATTATATACATAAATCAGTTGTGCTAGTTTTATATTAAACATAGCAGAACGTGACATTCATTCCAGTGTAATTTGTTCAGAAAATGTTCTTTCCCTCCTCAGTTGTCAAATTCAACTATCTGACAAAGGAAAATAGCTGCTTCATAGTATCAGTATCTTCTAGTGAAGCTTAACACCTAAAACCTTTGTGAAAAAAGTTCTTCGCACATTCTAGTCATACTTCAAAAGCCAGTATCAGGAGCACAGAGACTTCATTAGTACTCGTCTTCAGGTTGTGGATTGGTGTTAAGCATCAAGTGACGTTTAAGATCTGTCTGCAGCTGCTAGGGAGCAGTATCTGGGAGACTTGGAATGATGGGTATTACTATGCTATACTGCAAGGCTTCAATCATGGAAGGCTCTGCAAGCTTTGGGTCAGTAACTGAAAAAAATGATAGGTTGGCGAGGAGACTGCATAACCCCACAAATGAGCAAGTGAATAGTCTGGGGAGTGGTCCCTAATCCATAATATGTCATAAATCAAAACTATCTTAGATTATTATGAATATATTTCCTATATCTGGCTGAAAAACTGGACAGCTAACCTGAAAGCTGCAGCTAGTACATAATGCTATAGCTAAGTAGCAGTTTGTCATCATACGTTGGGAAAATGCACTGGCTTCCTACTCCCAAATCAATTTAAAAATATAGTGGCTCTTTACATAGCCCTAAACAACTCAGGACTAAGATCCTTAAGAAGCTAGCTCCAAATTCTTTGTTTTGGTGATGCACTAAACAGAGGATATCCTCCAGATGGTATACAACATGCCACAAGGGTCCAGTCTCTGAAGATTTGGAAAAGGCCCTTTAGTATCACAGTACTCCTGCTAGTAAAGAGTAGACAAGTACTAATCTTTCTGCACATCCGATTTATTCCAACAAGTTTCTGCCTGCATAAAACACATGATCCACCTAGCATTCTGACAATCTACTGGGATTTTTATGTTCTATACAATATATTACTATTGTTGAATTCTTATTCCTTTTATGTTGATTAAGTCCTTTGAGTGAAATAAATATTTACTGACGATCTGCAGCATTTTCTCCAGCAGTCTCTAATCTTTCCAAAAAGGAATCTCTCACCCTTGCGACCTAGGATCATAGATCCCATACTCCTCCAGTCAGTAGGAGGCAATGGTCTGATGATTTTCCCTAGGTAAAGACTGAACCATTAGCTGATGATGTAATACAAGTTAACTTTGAACTTTGGTCAATTTCTAACATATTGACCATGTTGAGTGGTATTCCCTTCACTGCTTCCCCAAATGTGTTTTCTTATTTTATTGCAAAATAATTTCACCTAATACAATTTATTTATTCATTATTTATTTATATCATTTTTACCCCACCCATATCAGCCCAAAGGTGACTCAGGGTGGCAAATACAAATCAATGCCAGATATATGCCAGCTGCTTTAAAATAAAAAAATACCAGTAAGCTATTTTCCAAGAATGTGGAACGACCAGCAAGAAGAGCTCCAACAGCTAGCTCAACTGTTGCAATTTATTTATTTATTTATTTATTTAGTGTGTTTGTGCCCCATTCTTCTTACTCGGGGGGGGGGGCACTCAGGCCGGCTTTACAACAAGCACTCATTCGAGTACTAACCACAGTCATAGACACATTTAAAGCAGATCATTAAAATACATTACATTAAAAACATTTGGTTAAAATCAGGTCAGTTTAAAAACCTATGTCTTGTTTTTAGGTGAATTTTACAATGTTGTAACCCACCTTGAGCCGTGAGAAGAGGCAGACAAGCAATAAAAATTATTGTTGTTATTATTGTTATTATTATATGCAGACTATTAGTGCAACTTCCTTGCTGACAAGCAATTCTCTCACACCAGAAGCGACTTGTAGTTTCTCAAGTCGCTCCTCACACACACACAAAAAGTATAACTCTACAGACACACATATTCGTAGTATGCAAAGCCATTTCAATTTCGCATAAACATTTTTGGATGACTCAGAAAGAGTTGAATGAACAGACCATTGGACGGATACAGATATATACACATATACACAACCCTCTATAGTGTTGAAAGCAGTTAAAATTGAGAGAGATAGTTGTTTGGAAAAAAACTGAATAAAATATCAGCATTTTTACATTCTAATTTTAAAAGATATTTAGAATACAGACTTAAAACAAAAGGCAGCTGTGTTTTCACATTCAGATGTCACTGAAGTCATAGCAGTATTTGTTCTTGACATCAAAGGAACCCGCATTAGTTCCCCACATCAAGGTCAAGAGCTTAAATCTGTGTACCTAGAATTTCCTCCAGCCCACATTCACAACAACATCAGTAGAGAGGAAGCCACCAATGACTCAACACATTAAAAGCTTAATCAAGGGACATATTTACACATTTCATTTCCCAAGCTGACTGGTCAAGACCAGTCTTAAAGGTTGGGAGCAACACCAATATAATTAATGGTATTTCAATAATGATGGATGGGAAAAGCCATGTGCTCTTTCTGCAAGTAGAGAAAAAAATAATCTGTCTGCAAATATTAAGCACATCCCACAAAAACAACATCAAAATGTTTTGTGGCTGTTGCCGGGTTTACTGTTCCAGCTGCCGTGCCTCACACTGAAATTAAGTTTGCTTCTAACTGTTCCAGTTTCAGGAATGGCTTACTCAAACTCATCAGTTTCTAATACCATTAGACACACACAATATTTTGGAGGACTTATTCGTACTGCAGCAGTAGGCACTAAAGAAAATTTCAGAGAATTATATCCACCTCAAATAGGTCAAGCTAAAGTCCTGATTTCCTCCCACTAGCTTCCCATAAAGTGATTACTGTTTGGATTTGGTTTGGTTTGCTTCCGGGTTGTTGTTTATTATGGCATTTAATGTTTGCCATCTTTTGTTGGAAACCACCCTGAGTTGTCGACCCCCCCCCCCCCCCCGAGGAACTGTGAGTGGTATGCCACCCTATCAATTGCTACTTTCAGAAAGCACAATGGTTTGAAACAGAATTGGTGCTTTAATAGTTTGATGTAATTTGATGTAGCACTTACAGCATCTTTTCCCTTTGTAAACACACTGTGAAATGGCATCCTTTTAAAAACTGGATTCATGTGCTCTCTGTGAAATGTTACTGATGTGTAGTTCATTCTGAAGAAGGTTGGTTTTGTTCTTTAGCATTTTATGGCAGCCACAGGAAACTAGCCTAGCACGCCAAATCCTAGCAGAAAGGTATCAGGAATGACCTTTTAATTCAGGCAAACCTTTAGGCAGTTGTGGTAGGCTGCCTGAACTGGTTTATCTGTATCTGTTTTATCCTTTTTAATGTTAAATGTCGATTAAAATCCTATCCTGAATGAGAAAAGGAGGGCACAAATCAATAAAAGAAGAAACAAACATTTAATCAGTACCTTCTCATTGGTGAGGATTCCCAAATGTGATGTGAGCTCACTTATCTGTCTGTCCTTGTCAGCCAACTGAACCTGTTAAAATGAACCATTATTAATGGATATAGAGCTTTCTCCCATGTGTACATAAACTACTTCAAATTCAAACACAAGTTTTCTAAGTGGATTACATTCAAAATTCACTAACAAGTATTGCAGTCATCTCAACATGAGCACTATTGCAAGTAGTAAACATGGGCCCACCTCTCTCCAAGTCAAATTTTATATTGGTAATAGCAATTGGTCTTGATTTTATAGAGCAAAACAATTCCAATTTTATAATAATGCTCAAAAATATATTTTTTTACCGCATAACCATCCATACATGACCCTGTATAAACATCCCAGAGGATAATGCAGGTCTAACAGAGCAAAGAGAATTAAGAACAATCCCACAAGTGCTGATGCCCAATAAAATATGTCTCAAAAACAGTTGTTCATGAACAATTATTTTCCATGTCAAAAGAAGGCAAGTCTGACACCAAACTGATTTGTACAATGTGTCCATTTCAGAGATAGCTAACCATTGTTTTTCTAAGCAATCAAGAACCTGCTTAGGAATCAATGTCAAAGAAAGCCAAACTTACTAAATATTGATCTTCCATTGCAGCTAGTTGTTGCTTCACACTTTCATTAATTTTCAATTGCTCCTTCCATTTCAACTCCAACTTGGCCAATTCATCAGCATAGGCACTGCATTTTAATTTCTCATCCTGTAAATAAAGTTATCAGTTGGCAAAGGTTTTACAAACATGTAGATTTCACTGGTCATTTCACTTGCAATCCAGCTGCTTTATAAAAACTGCCACCAATAGACTTTCTTCTTAATTTGCTAATCAGGGAGCTTCCTCGCCCCCTTTTTAAAAAAATTGCCTGGTTTAATGAAAGCATCAAATCAATGAAAAATGCTTTAGTGTGAATCAATACTTCGATTTGCAACTGTGACATTTTTGTATACAAAATAGTTTCATTTTGTCTTTGGGATACAAGAGACTCCACAAACTTTGCAACTCTCAAGTACCGTAATCCAGAAGGCTAAAAGGAAAAGCCCTTTTACAGTGAACGTGAAACAGAACCAGAAAGAACTTCTTAGACTAGGGAAGTCAGGGAAACAATTGTGAGAAAACCATCTTTAGAAACACATGGTTAAATACAAAATCTCATTTGACCCTTGTTATGTAGATATAATGAAAGGCACATCTCTTTGCAGAGAAAAACAGCAAGTTCCTTTTCAGACCTCTCTCGTTCACTTTGTTCAAAATGCATTCCTGTCCTTTCTAGATATGTTTGTAGCCAGATACTAGAGCTATTAACTGCTTAAAACTGCATATGACATAAAACAATCTGTGTAGCAAGAAGCACGTTTCTAGGTAATGCATATAAATGTTCTTAAACAAGAGAAAAGAATAATGTCTCTTTAGATGGGGCTTGCTATTTGCATTTGTCTGTATGGATAATAAAGCATTTTAAAAGAGGTGCCACTCTTAATACATAATTTGTGGGCTTACTATATATTCTTGCACTGCAATACATCAACACAGCTGAAAAGAGCACTTTATAGATGGTAAGTCCCAGAGAAAGACTTATTTCTAAGTCAACATTGATATGAATATAGTGGGTGGACCATAAAAACCAAGAGAACAGATTGTTCAAAATAATCAAGGGAAATTTTACCGCCTGACAAGAGTCTTGGCAGAGCATTTACATATTAACTATAAAACATAAATGATCATAACAAGTTTTCAATTATGTCAAGCTTTATCAAGAGCTATTCTTTGTGATTACTTCTTATAACTACTTCATTTCACTACAGCCTTTTTACTTACTGACAGCACCCGCTTGTACTTCTTATATTTCTCCGTTTCCTTATTCTTTTCGTGAAGTTGTTCCTTTTCTGAAAAGTCCATAAGTGTATCAGATAAAATTCCGCTAACTGCATATATTTTGGAAAGATCACATTTTTCCTACTATCTGAATGAAAAGGTGTAACTTATTACATACTGGGACATAAGTATATTGGAGTAGCAAAAGACTTCACATTTTGTGTTTTTCTATAAAGCAGGAGAAACATGTTCACAGCACATACAAGCGGTAGAGAACTGAAGCCTAGTTTTTTTTTGTGAGCAGTTACCTACACAGCATAGTATATTAAGAACTGTAATTTAGGAACATTTTAAGGGGACATGTCTTAGATTGTTTTTAAAAAGGCAAGAAGTCTGGTGTCACTTTAAGAATAAGCAACTTATATTAATTAATTAATTAGTTAGTTATTCGAACTTATATGCCGCCACTCCCCTGGGGCTCGGAGCGGCTTACAAGAATGGCTAAAATCTAACACAATTTAAAAACAATTTTAAACAATTTTAAAAACAGCAATATCAAAAATCAAAGGCCTGTCGAAACAGGTATGTCTTACAAGCCCTGCAGAAAGCTGATAAGTCCCGCAAGGCACGGACTTCAGGTGGCAGAGTATTCCAGAGTGATGGTGCCACTGCTGTAAAGGCTCTGCATCTGGTTGCTGTTAGACGCAAGGTCTTGACACTGGGAATTTCCAATAGATCTTGGTCCTCAGAACGGAGGGATCTCTGGGGTTGGTAGGGGGTGAGGCGGTCCCTCAGGTACATCGGCCCCAGACCATGCAAGGCCTTAAAGGTGAGTACCATCACTTTGAAAGTGATCCAGTGCTCAATTGGTAACCAATGCAGCTATAGTAAGATTGGTGCTATGTGGCATCTCATCGGAATTCCCGCAAGAAGCCGAGCAGCTGCATTTTGTACCAACTTGAGCTTCCGGATCACTGACAGAGGAAGGCCAATGTAGAGGGCGTTACAGTAGTCCAGTCTTGAGATGACCGTAGCCTGGATCACCGTTTGACATAAACTTTCAAGAACTACAGCTTACAAAGTGAACTGTTTTCCATGTAAGCTTATATCGAATTAAAAATTGCTAGTCTTTAAAATACCATTAAATTAATTATCTTTGAGAACAAATACTAATGTTCTTAACTTTTTAGTAATATGTAATCTATTTCATATAGCAATGACTAGAAATACACAGTCTTCTAGCTAAACAATTTGGACTATTTAGTTCCCTGAGCTCTGATAATCCATTTTATTTATACTTATTCATTATTTTATGATAATAGTATTATGTAACAACACTATGAATGTAGAGTTTGCTAATCATTATAGTGGCATGGTCTGAATGTGATAAAGCTCAAAATTGAAGCTGGTCAGTGTCTGTACATGGGAACCTAATATACAGTCATTGTAATGGAATAAAGCTGCAATACAAATGTAGCATATCAACATTTATACCTGAAAAACATGCATTTAGCAAGGTAGTAATTTTTGTATTTACTATCACTTGGGAGTTATAAATAGGGAAATGGGGGGGGGGGGGGGCTAAATGTTGCTGTGCAGATGAGGAGCACTGGAATGCAGAACTATTGCCAGACAGGGATTCTAGACACTAATATTATATTTCATTACACGAAAATATCTAATTGCTAGACAATTATACAATTTATCAACTGTAATGCTGCACAATTGTCTATCAAATCTCCGATTAAAATCCAACACTGGCCTTCCACTGGCAAAAAGAACAGGATAGGAGAAAGCATTTTCCTCTTCCTGTTACATGTCTCATGCACTCCAAATATGTGCCTCAAAGGACTGGCACAACCCAGTCAAGCAATTTTGGCTAACTCCAAGGATTAAGAAGAAGAGAAGGAATTTCCAGTACATTGGCACTGTGGCATTAGCACTACATTTAATTTTGATCTAGCTCTGTGCTAAGGAAAAAAAAACTGATTGGGGGAGTCTGCTTTGTGTTAAGAGTCACACAATTAGTAATAACCCTACAATAAAATGTGAAATGACTAAGTTAGAAGACTCCTCCTAAAAAGGAAACTCCTGTCTCTGGGGAAAGAAAAATTTTGAATCCAAAGCAATACAATCAGTACCTGAACTTTACATGCTTTAACAGGCTGAGTTCCTGTTGCATTTAGACAGAAGTATTATTGACCTAACAGTGCTGTTCCAGAGAGCCCCCTCCCCACTTTGCACCTCTGGAAATGGTGGCCACTGAAAGGAGAGTGGTTTTAAAAAATGCATATGATGTTTTGGATTATGTCTTTTCTGCATTACTGCTAAATTATATCAAAGTTTTGTCCAAGTCTAGAATTAAGTGATACCTGGAGATGTAGGCAACTTTTTATCTCCAACCTCACACATACGAGCTTCACACTTTGAGCCATCTGTTAGATTCTGCTGATTCCCTGCATTGGCCTTTATAAGAAAAGAATGTATATATTTAAGGCATTTGCAAAACACTCAAGGATTCCAGGGCAGTAATAAAAATAACAAAAGAAACACAAATACTGTACCAAAAAAACCCTACAAAACAGAATAAAAATAGAACAAAGAATGACATCCAGAGTGAATGTTACTATTAAATGGTTTGGCAAAAGGGAAAGTCATAAACTAGCACACATTTTATTATGGCAGTTCTGTATTGGATAGGTGCTATTCTGGTTACAGGCTTCATTAATCTGATCAGCCCAAAACACTTACAGCTAAAAAGCCCCCCTGAAGCAATTTCCTCCATAGCTCCTACTACTAAGGTAACAATTCTCAGTAAAGATTATTTGGTTTTCTCACACTTTTGTGAAAATGTGAAACTGTGTGTATAACATAAACAGCAGGAAGAAAAGAAGCATTGGCCCCTTTCCCAACAAGTCACACAACTCAAGTTTCTTATAGAATAATGTCTGGAAAAGAATATGAGATGGTAAAGATAATGTCCATGAGCCAATTCCAACATACTATTACCAATTTCTGCTAAAAGGCATGTGTAATGTCTTAAGGTTTTAATACGGAAACCATTCAAAACTAGAATATATTCTGATACTAAGGAGACAATAACTATTAGCATTCTGGATTAGGGTCGTCAAGAAGCTGCAAACTTGAATGGAGTATATGTTGTCCCTTAAGAAATCAATATTAAATTATTTCTGCTCAATGAACTTTAGCTAGAACTTGCATGGAATAATACATAAAATGTATCAGAAACCTTTTAGGCAACTCATCAGTAAATTTAAGATTCATCCAGATTTTGTTCATTTAAATAAAAACAGGCTGGCTCTATGTGTTCTGTTATAAAATTCTGTACTCCTCCAAAAGTAGTCAACCAATTTTATAAAACTACTGGAAGAATGCAGGTACTATATATTTACAAATGTTACTTACAGTCTGGTCCATAAGCTTATGGATTTGTTTTTGCAGCTTCTGGCACTCCTTGAATTTTTCTTTGTAATGATCAGCAGCCATTTGTAGGCGCAGCTTCAAATCTTCAACTTCTCTGCGCAGCTCTTTTTCTACAGCATTTGATACTTCCTTTAACAAAAATATTACCATATGGAGAAAATGTATTTAGTCTTCCAAAATGCTTATTTAAACCTCATTTTAAAATGCAAAATGAAGGAAAGGATGTTTCAAAACAAAACCAAAGATGTATAAGATATTGCCCTTTTTGTTGGCTTCAAGAGAATGATTTTTCTCCTGTTAAAATTTTACTTCATAGTTAAGACAATTCTGGGAGCCCCTGGGGTCACAATGGCTTAAGCCCTTATGCCAGCAGGACTGCTGACCCAAAGGTTGGTGGTTTGAATTCGGAGAGCTCAGTGAGCTCCTGTCTGTCAGCTCCAGCTTCTCATGTGGGGACATGACAGAAGCCTCCCACAGGATGGTAAAACATCCAGGCATCCCCTGAGCAACATCCTTGCAGGCGGCCAATTCTCTCACATCAGAAACAACTTGCAGTTTCTCAGGTCGCTCCTGACATGAAAAAAAAGACTATTCTGGAACTATGAGTTCTTTCTTATCTCTGTGCTGAACAGGTCAAAACCTAATTTCCAGTATAGTACAGCATGCTCTGAAACCACTTACGAGGCAAAATAGTAAATCACACATCCTCTGATAAACGTTTGTGCCAGTAGTAATAGGTTTCTGTACTAGAGACAATGACAGGCAAGGTGCATTCATCTCAGACTAATGAAATGGATTACAACAGTTGACTAAAAGCCACTTATAACATTAGCCCTAGGATATCCATAAAGTTCTCTCTACTTCCTGTTTCCTGTATCTATACAACCAACATGAAGTAAATAAATCACTGCAGGAATATCACACACTTAATCACAGATTTTACTCAGCCTATGAACTTACAGACTATTTTTTTAAAAAAGGAAATGCATCTAATGGCATTTAAAAAGGTGTTCAGTTATAAATTAATCATACACAGACAAGCATAAAACTGCTTGCTTGTCATAAAGCTGTAGTACAGGAGACATTTAAAATTCCACTGGAAAAAAATGTTATGAACAACACAATCACATATTTTACAAGTTTTTTCCAAAAAAAATGCAATCTATTTGGGAGTGACTGTGGGTCCATTCAACATTTTTAATGCTGTTCACTTTATTATTTATTCATGGATTGAAGGATCTATGTGAAGTTTCTAAATGTATAAGACATGTGAATCTTTGTAAGATTCAGTCTAAACTATATTTCCCTTCCCCTGTAATCCAATTAAAGTCTTAGAGGCTTTGGGAGAATAGAAGGTGACATGCAATAGAGAAATTCTCTCCACTGAAAGTGAATGACAGCTAGCAATTATCCAAATAATAATATTTTGTATTCTGTGCCATAACATTTTCTTTCACTCTCACACACAGAACAGTCATATTAAACATAAGAACAAATGCTCTTACCTGTTCATTATTCACTAGAGTGATTTTTTTGAGTTCAGACAAAGCATCAGCAAGTTGCTTCTTCACCTTCTCATTTTCTAGTCGAGCGCTATGAAGATCGGCCATAGTTTTATCACGCACATTTACTGCATCACTAAGTTCTTTTGACATCAGCAGAGCTTCCTGCCTACTAGCTTGAATCTGATCCTCAGCTTTTCGAAGCTGTTCCTTTAACATGCTTGCCTCTTCCTAGAAAAATTAAAAAGAAAAACTTGAAAACACACTTCAAGGTTTGTTCATTTCCCTCTTGTTTTGTTAAAATGAAAATGTACTAGTATTTTCAAGACAAGTATATTGAAAACATTCTGAAATATCCAATAGCCTAGAACACTGTTTCTTAAAATGTCAATCCTGACTCCAAATGGGGTCCCCTTCATTCAATGTAAGGGTCACAGAAAATGTGGCAACAGTAAAAGGTTTTAGATATTTATATGAATCTGTTGTGCAATGTTTACAGTGGACTCTGCAGAAGGTGCTTCAGCTGTACTTCATAAAATGGAAAATCAGCCTGTTTAGCAAGCCTTGCTAATGTTGATTTTCAGTAAATGTTTGATTTGTATATCTATTTTTATATACAGGCAGTCCCCAAATTATGAACAAGATAGGTTCTGTAGGTTTGTTCTTAAGCTGAATTTGTTTGTAAGTCAAAACAGGTACATTTTTCAGTGTAACCAGCCAAAAATACAAATTTTAGCTTTGGATAGAATAGGGAAAGATTAACACCCTGTGGTGTTTGTGTTGCTGTCTATTCCTCTGTTCAGAAGATTTTACCTCACTTTCTGTCCCTGTGATAATTGGATTTTGAAAAAATGGCTTGTTGTAGAAACAAGGATTGGTGATAAAGCTTCAGTGGATACACCTTTTGATAATTCTTTCAGGAGTTAATTTTCTTTCCGATGGGTAAATTTCTCTCACTTCCTATTGTCCCATTCTTAACTATGAGTCATTTGTAAGTTGGGACTGCCTGTACCTATATACTCAGGGTCATTTAATAATTTTTCTGGCTGAAATGGGTTGCAAGTGGAAATGTTTAAGAAGCCCTGTCTACAATATTGCAATAACAGATCTGGAAGAACATTGCCCAAACCTGTTATTAGTTCAAATGAGGTTATACTCATTAAAGCAAATAGTTAATAGTAAGTCAACACTTGTGCAGACCCCCCTGATTCAAAATGTCTACCCTCTAGTCGGATTTACGTCATGACTCTTCATCTTTATCAAACAGTATAAAATCATTATTACATTAGGCATTTGCGAAGAAATGATGTTACACCTACACTACTGTGGTTTACTTTACAGAATATATTAATTGTGACAACAACCAAATATAATCTAAACCTGCTTGGGAAAACCAATGCATTCCCCAGCTAGTACACTGCTTATAATATGAGGTATTTTGGAACAACCAAAACACCTAAAGCAAGCAACTTTCCAATCTTATATCAAGATGTTATCTGAGAAGCAGTGATTACCTTATTTGATGAAGTAAGCAAAAATGCTCTCTTTAGGTTTTCTTTCTCAGCTACACACAGTTGCAATCTGCCAATCTCCTCTTTGTAATAAGATATCAGATTCTCTTTATTTCCATCCAGATTCTTTAATGTCTGAACCTCTGAAGCTAGTTTAGTGTTTTCAATCTCTGTGTTCTTCAGGTGTATCTGCAATGTTAAGACCAGCTCATAATCCTACTTACCATATTAAGACAAACAGACCACCAAAGATAAAGACAAGTCAGGAGTTACTGTCGATAGCACAGTGGGAGTTCATACATTCCCATTTGCAAGGTCTGTACTTTATTACACATTTCCTATACACAACAAGAACACCTGGTCAATTGCCACAGCTTCACATCTTTGAATCTATTCAAATCAATGTCCAATTCACATTTTTTTTAAATGTATGCATCATTCCCAAAGGTCAGTGATGTATATAACACCTTCCCCTCTCAACTTTGTTTCTTCCCAGTATACAAGAGGAATAAACTAAATAAAAACCCTGGATTCTCTCTAGTCATTGTGAGGGAATAAACTCAAGAAGAGTAACCACTTGCTGACTACACAATAAGCCATCCAGTGTGCTGAAGAATGATTCAGACATCTACTTGAGCAAAAAGTACCAGTCAGGATATCTGGCTTGCTACTTCATGCTAGTCCACCCACAATCTGATGTTCAATTATGGTATGGAAAATAAAGCAGCATGAAATAAACTAGCTACTGCTGTCACAGCTCCACAGCACCATTCCACCAAGGGCCCACAGGAAGGGAATTGCAAGCTGAATATTACCAACCTATGACTGAAGAAACACTGAGAAAGCCCACTCAAAGCAAACAAATATTTTCAGTGGTAAAACTATAGCACAGTCATTTTTTTGTTTTTCTGTTTAAAAGTGGGTATACGCAAGCTGTCATCTATCTATTAAGTACATTAAAATTTACCTTGTAGAGTTCCTTTTCATCCTTTTCGGTCTTTAACTGGCATTCAAGTTGTTCCTTTTCAAGGATAACTTTCTTGAGTTTGTCTTTGAAGCTATTAAGAACAATAAAATTAATACCACATTTTGAGATTTGAGTGAAACATACATCATTATATTAAGTGCATACCTGTCTAACTCTGTTTCTTTCGCAATAGCTTTTTGGGTAACAGTCATGATATCTTCTTCAAGCTGCAGAACCTTGGAAGTTGCCTCGTCGTATTTTTTCTTGAGACTGTCCTTTTCCGTTTGAAGAGTGTCAACAGTTTTAAAGTTATCCTAACAATAACAACAACACAAGTGACACAAAGAACTTTTTGGAAATAGATGTGTCAAATCTAAAGATAAACTTTTCTCATCTTACCATCTGAGAGAAATGCTACTAATAATTTAGTTGATAATCAAATCTGGAGCAGTCAACTTCACTGGGAGTTCTGAGATGCTAGCATTATTATCCCAAAACCTCTTTCCCCTCCTTCAGACTTTTTTCTCCATCCTGTTCCTGAAAATCCTGAGGCCACAGGTCCACTTCATTCAATTCTATTAATTCTGCTGTTATCCACACCAAGCCATCAAACAAGGGCTTCAAAGCTTAATAAAGTAATGAAAATTGTCTCTTGAAAAGAAAGAAATTAGCCAGGACAAAAAAGATAAAAGGCAAATAACTCTAATGTAATTAGGACACTCATAGATGCTACCATCTGGGAGGTAGTCTCGCATGATTCCAATTAGTTCTAAGAAGAGATCAACTTTTCAGAATGTTAACATGACAAATGGTACCTTTTTAGCTTAAGAGGGTGTCTCCCATGTGAAAATGGGAAGGAGAAAGAGAAAATATAGTCTCCCTCTGAGCTGAGATAGATAAAGCAGGGTAAAAATGCAGTAAATAAATAAATAAATAAGAAATACAAGGGTAGGGATAAAAGGAAATGACAGAAGTCATTTTAAACAGAATTTTAAAAGAAGAAATCACTAAGACCATAAGAATGAGAAGAACTGCACATGGACTAAGACAAAATAAAGGAAGGGGGCAGAAGGATAATCTAAATCTGTTGTTGTCATGTGGCAGCAAAAGGAATTATCCTTTAGGTGTGTTTTTTTGCCACATTCAGAAAAAAATTAGCAGCCTCTGCTTTCCTCAGTGATTATTCATCCTGTTGGGTTTCATCCCTGGCCTGCACAAGTCTCTTGAGTCATCAAGCTTCCAGACCTCAATGAATAGATAGACTAGAGATATGATTAGGCTGAGGGATTCCTCCCCCACATTACTTTGCATGTTTACCAAAAGGGCTTTGTCTTTCCTCCTCCTCGGCACTGTTTCCTCCCCCTTTGAAGATGTAGCAATAGAATCTCTGTGAGGGAACTTCCTTTTTAGTGGTATTTTTATTGCCCTAGGCTGGCTATGTGGCCATCCTCCATTGTCTCTCCTGCCTTTTTTTCCTTCCAGTGAGGACGCATTTTGCCGCTCTCTCTAGGCAAAATGTAGCTGCATGATTTTGGTTTTTTATTTAGCCTTTTACTTCTTTAGAAGATGAAATTTATTAAGCTAGTTAACACCAAGACCTTTTCTATCTTGAATGCATTACTTTTACTTCAATAATTATTTTGAACCTAAAGTTCTGACTCTGCAATCCTGTGACATCCTATGAATAGAAGCTTATCTGTGTTCCATCAATTAGGACTATGGCCAAGAAACAAACTATGTATTGAACACACTCGAATTTATGCTAAAAACTACCATTTCAAAAGCATGGAGGCAAAGGTGAGAAAAGCTTTATAAATGGTATTTCATCTTTAAATACTTTAATATGGAAAATATTACTAAACTACATATGGAAGGCAGAAATTAAAAGGTTTAATAACTGAAAATAAATTCATTGCTACAGTACGCATATTAATGTATCCTACTGCATTTTCCAATTTTTTTTAGAAGGTTTTCAATGAAGGACTAGGCTCAGGTGGCTCTGAAAAGGTATCACAAAATTAGCTTTTATCACCTATTAACTAACCTTCTGCTGTGCTTCCAGCTGATCGTATCTTTCCTTTTCGTAGTTTAGTTCTGATTCCAGTCTTTCAACTTGTTCTCTGAGATGGGCAGTTTCCTTTTCAAGTGAAGCAGTTACCTTTAATAGATCTTCTTTTTCTTTCAGAGTTTTTTCTATTTTGAACTAAAAACACAAAAACAAATCTGAACAAAAGTAAATTTATCCTAATCTCACTACATTGCTAAATTTCCACAATATTAATATTCTATATATCTTCCACCCACTGCAAAAATCAAGTAGATGGCATCCAGAAAGGAGAAGAGAAGAAGCAATTTTGGGTTGAGGATTTAAATATCTGACCATGTTGTATTTCCCAACCTTCTCAAATTCCCAACTATAGTTCTATCTCAAAATATAGTTACAGGTTTTTACAGTCATAGGAACTGACTTGCCTAAAAGCCTGTTGAAGCCAAGTCTCTTCATTATTCTTTCCAAACTTGCCCATCTCATTCTTTGTCCCTGAAGCTATGACATTCTTTTTACGTTGTTCTTTTAAGCACAGTAATTCACACACTACTTTATGTTAACATATGAATACCAAGCAAGATAATGAGCCAAAGATCCATGAAGCCTTTCTACATCTCCATCACAACCACAGCTCATTTGATTTATATTCAACAGACACCTCATTTAAGGCTTCTAAATTATCTGTGCATTTATTTCAAAGCAAAATGCTAGCATTTTTACAAAATCCTATTTCTTCAACATGACATTTCTCTAAACATTTTCATTTCTAACTTCATGTAAATTCATTTCCATTATATAAACAGAAGAATTTGCTCAATCAAACCTCAAGAAGTCCAGCCTTTGTTGTCACCACCAACATATCAGAATTTCCTTCATCTTCCATTGTTAACAATTCTTCAACAGGAGAAGATGTTCGAAACTGAAAAGGTGTGCTTGCTCCACGGATCTCACCTTTGTGTGTCACATAACAGAACTGGTAAAATTCACCATCATCATTTGGAAGATAATATCCTGTTGAACATAGAGATGTAAAGGAAACACCTTTTTCATATCCACACAATCATTAAAGTAATAACTATAATTCAAATACATTTGGGTTTTTTTTTATGTGACAGTTCAAGACAAGGTGCATGTCAATGCTTTATTGCTCAATATCTAACAAAATGCAAGGCTTCAAAATACTATATGCTAGTGAGCTTTTACACCATAATTTATACCTTCTGGCCTAATGCTATAAATTGTATTTTTATTACTGGTTTAAATCTTACACAGAAACGCACTGGGGCAAGTCATCCTGTAAATTCACCTAGGCATGATGCTACTATATACCTTATCAGAAAGGGAAAACAGTGGGAGTGGGGGAAGTGTTTGAAGTGAAATTAATGTAGATACAACTTCAGCTATACACTTGCCATTTTACTGGAAGGTTACAAAGGTCCCGTTCCAATCTGATAAATTAGTGTATTTGTTTCAATCAGATTTAAAGTAGATATACTGCGAGCCAAGGAAATTGTGTCAATTTTCAGTACTTTCTAAGAAAATATACATGCATGTTTGATGTTCTCAGCAACACAGAATAAAAACTCTTACATTTTAACTATTTACCTTGAAATGACAGCACACAGTTAACTGTTGATGCTTCCACATAATTTTCAGGCATAGGTGACCAAAGAAATGTGTAATAATCCCTTGCTGTACTCCAGCCAACCTAAATCAAGAACAGCAAACTCTTAATTCAATAGAACTAAGTACATTTCTCTGACATATTTAACTTTCAAAACTTGACAAGCATCTATATATTTCTTCTCCAATTAACTCTTGCTGTGTAAATTTATAAATATAAATGTTAAAAAAATCTTTCTGAAATGCAGTTTTCCTCTAATTTAACTGCTAGTAATGTATAAAATGGTCTTCATCAGCTTTTTTTGCTATGCCCTCCAGATACCTACAGTCCAACACAATTTGCCATATTGGCTAGGAATAATGGGAGTTGTAAATTATCTTTCTAGAGGATTATGGGATAGGCGTATTATTACACCACATTCATAATGCGGGAAAACGTAACCTAAAAGTAATATCTTTCCATTTGAGATGTCCTTAATAAATTGTGACAGAGGAATCCAGTTTTTCCATTGCCTCTAATGTTTTGCTTTTACCTTTCCATGATTTTAAAGTCTACTATCAGTAACTAGCTAAATGGCTACTCTTGCAACCAAGTTTTTAATTTATTTTAGTGTGTGCTCGAACTTTAGCTCCAGTAGCTATGCTTACTTGTTGCCTTGACTGATTGTCACATATACCTTTCTTTTCCCACCGTAACCAGACAGGAGCCAATGAGAAGCTAAAAAAGCCTTATACTGTCAGAAACAGTGAGAACAAAGAGCAGAAAAATCCTCTTGTAGTCTTATTACGAACACTTCAAAATATACTCACAGAATTCACTCTCATTCTACTTTGGCCCTGTATTACATTTTCCTCCAAATAAACAAATATTGCCAGAGTGGTCTTTCTAGAAAGTTCATGCATGCATATTTTTGCCATCACAGAAATGTCTGCCATGAATACAGAACACCATAATCCTAAAATTAGATCCCTACTCACCCACCTGCACTCACTAAATAGTTAGGTGCGAATAGGAGTGAAACTGTAATATGCTCATATTTTTTATGCTGAGGCTGGCTAGAATAAGTACACTTCCCGGTTCTTTTGCTGATTACTTTTAAAAAGCAGTGCATGCACATCTGAAAGACTGCCAAACCTATCCTGAAGTAAACCTAGCAACATAGCAGTGTTACTTAAAGTCTCATCTTCCCCCTAAACAACACAGGTTCATCACCTAAACATTATTTTATTTGCACAACAATCCTATGAGGTGATGTCACCTAGGTTAGAAGACAAAAAAAAGGTCCAAGATAATCCAGTGCACTTCATGGCTAAACAGAAACCTCAATCTAGGCCTTAATAGTCTGAAAACTAATAACTATTACAATGTAGGCTGTTAAAATCATTAGTTGACTATTGTATTAGGAATGGCAATCTGCAGTTGCGCCTCATAAACATATACATTTGCAAATAGCTTCTAGCATGCTTTGTCAAGCAGCACTACTATAAGATTGGGAATCATACCAAAAGAGACTGCATATTCCATAAAGAAACTCAACAGACAATTTCAAGCAACCAGAATCCTGATATGCTAGACAAGACTGACCTACTTCGTTGATAATCAATTCTCATGAAGAACTAATTATTCCTTAATCCAAAGCTTTTAAAGCTTGGACATTAGATCTCTTTATAATACCAGCTTCTCTTAAAGTGGCAGAGCATACATCTCTTAAAATGGCTATGTGCTTAATAGATCAATAAACCACAAATTGGGATGAAAATATTCTTAACTCTGAATCTGCTGTTTAAAAGTAGTTTTTTGGGCGTTTTTAACCAAACTGGTGTTTCGGGGATATAGAAAAGAAATTATGAAGTGCAGACAATCAGATTTTCAATACAGACCACAATCCTTTGGTACACATTTCATAGACTAGTAAGAACTACTAATAAATATGGCTATTATCATTATTTCCATGATGTGACTCAAAGCTGCTTACCACCATTAAAATAGATATAGTGAAAAAGTTTACACATATGAACTTTAAAAATGTACTGTAAGTGAACTATCAATAAAATTAAAACTAAGAAAAAACAGACTACTAAAAACGAGAATAAAATACATATGACTACCTAATTCTTTCAATATCACAACCACTCTGCCTCTAGAACACCTGAAAGTGCTTTTGCACTCATGTCCTTGTACTGTGCTTCTCACAGCTACCTTAGAGTAAAAGTAAAAACAGGTTTATGGGCATTATAGGTTTTATATGTTGCCTCTGGCAATCCAGAGGGATTTATCTTATGTTCTTATATTTATGTACTACTTTCCTTCAATTGAGAAGATATTAATAAGTTGAATACGAAGTGTGAAATACTAACAATAGCATTTCATTCAGGAATGCTACAAATGGAACTTTTTAGAGATTGAAAGATGCTTAGCAGAGGTCCAAACTCCTCCCCTGTGACATTTATTGACCACTAAAAACATTGGCTAATTCAATTCTATTGAATTTCAGAGTGGGATTTTCTTTTAATGTAGATGGCCATTTCAGTGACATACCGAAAGTCACTTCTGGTGTGAGAGACTCAACCATCCACAAAGATGTTGCCCAGGGGACACTAGGATGTGTTACCATCCTGTGGGGAGGCTTCTCTCATGTCCCTCTGATATGTGTCGGGAAGTAGCAGCTAGTAATGAAAGGACCTAGGCACTGACATCTCCAGCCCATCCTATGGTCAGATATCAGCCAGCAAGCCAATGCCTTAAATCAAGAAATAGCTTCCTAAGATCTACAGAGATACTTGCATAAACATCTCAGGAAGCGAGAGTCCAAAAGTTGTAGGCTAAAACCTGAAATCTCAATCAGTGGTGGATACCGGATAAGAAACTCCCCCCTGGGCACACAGAAGACTAAGCGACTTAGAAGGCGCTGAACAGACTGCACTCTGGCATCATTAAATTTATTTATTATTTATGTATTTCAAACATTTATATCCCGTCCTTCTCAATCCCACGAGGGGGGACCCAGGGCGGCTTACAACTGGCAGCCATTTGATGCCAACAACAACAAACAATCACAATACAAAACTAATTAACATTAAATAGACAATTACTTATACATATAAGCCCAAATTTCAAATCCATATCAGTCCAGAGTTCCAGACCGAGGTCTATCCATGCAGAGCCAATCTTAAGAAATTGGGCTACAAAGTGAAGTCCACAACATGCGAGTGTGGAGAAGAGCAAATCACAGACCACCTACTACAATGCAGTCTGAGCCCTGCCACATGTACAATGGAGGACCTTTTTACAGCGACACCCGAAGCATTCCAAGTAGCTAGCTTCGGGTCAAAGGAAATTTAGTATAATGCCTAGTTTTTAACTTCATGGGGTTTTTTTATATGTTATAACTCTATTTTCAATTCACTTCTGACACAATAAGTAAATGAACAGGTGACAAACTGAGCAGTGCAATTCTAAAACTCTCATAAAGTTTACTGGGAATTCTAGAAAGGTTTGTATAGGGTTACATCTTAAATGAATCAAAAAGAAAAAGTACAAGGATGTGGGAACTGATTCTGTCTTTTTTAAGTTTCTAAAAGAGGACGTTATTAGTTCTACAATTATTTTCTATTTTACCTCATGACCACAACATACAGTATATGAACTAAACTGTAGCTGAGTCATAACAAAAGACAGAAAGTGAAAGTAAAAAAGTTAATTTCTTCTTTCCACCTGTACAACTCCAGACAATTGCAATGTGGCCTCAAAAAGGGGGAGATTTCACAATAAAGTAAACCTCTATATATACTTTAGGAACATAATTTCAAACATTTCAATTCATATCCTGCTGCCCACTTTCTCTTCATTTTTTAAAAATAAAATAAAATTGGATTATATTGAAACATAGTAAAATACTACTTACCTTGAAAATACCAACCCAATCTTTTTGATGAGGACGTATATAGGGAGTCAAAGTATAATGGCATTCAAGATGCACATTAGGAAGATAGCTTTTTGCGACATTTTGAAAGATAACATGTGCAAAATTTGAAGTCTGAAGGGCACTACTTGAAGATGGAATTTCTTGGAAGGATGACATTGTTGTTCTGCAAAATAATTAAATCCTTATTAATGCAATAGTATTGGAATGATTCAAAGCATAAACTCACAATCCTTAGGTAGGATGATAACATAACATAGTATATAGTGTTCTTATATCAGTTTAATTCATTGGTTTAAACCCAAAGAGCAGGATGAAGTCTACTCAATATCCATTGGATATACATGCACATTTGGAACAAAACTGGTAAAATACTTCTTCTTGACCATCTGCTGCCATTGCTACCATCTGAGCCACAATAACCCCAGGAACATATGTTTACACTGAGAATAGGATTACAAAATTAAGACCTTTGCATTAATTACGTAACCACAATGGCATACACCACAAGTCCATACACATATAATGGCTTGCAATTGCATTACCATGTATTAAGGATAAAAACTATCCATACAAATCACAGCTAAAATTCCTACTTATTAAACAGACAATTAGTTGTGTGGGAACTGCTTATTTGACTCTATATACACCACAAGACATGTTACTTCCTCATCCTGCTTCCCTTTAGAAATATTTTGTTGTTTATGTTTACATCTTTAATCAGGTGCAAAGGCTATGTTCTATGTCAAGCTAAGGTTATGGGACAAAAGTAGTGTAAAGTAGTATAATATAATGCAGCCTTACCCATATTAAAAGCTTTAGTAATCAACTATAATGAGGGAAAATTATCACTGTAATCCAATTACGAGAAGCAAGAACCTATATGCCAGAATAATTACATTTTAATTTATTTCTACTGGTTTTGTATAAAATTATAAATACAATTAACAAGTTGAATACAACAAGCTTGCTTTTATAAGATCTGAATTAATTGAAATTGCATGCAGAGCTTGCTACATTCAATTGTAACAGTTTTCCAGGATTTTTCCCCTTCTGTGAGACTGGAATTCTTTGTGACACATAGAATCATAGAGTTGGAAGAGACCTCATGGGCCATCCAGTCCAACCCCCTGCCAAGAAGCTGGAATATTGCATTCAAAGCACCCCTGACAGATGCCATCTGTTTAAAAGCTTCTTTGAAAGGTAATGGGAAACCAAATTTCCAGGCATTCATTTTGCTGTGGTGACTTACTAAGAAATCTATTAGGATGCATTAACTCTGATGAAACAATTTGCCAAATGATAATGACTGAATTGGACTGAAATTCAAATCAAGTTTCCTACAATATGACAATTTTCATCAATGCAGCTCCTAGGAAATATACTCTAATTTCTTTATGAAACTTTTGTTATTGACAGCCATTAAAGATACAAAAGGAAACGGGAAATTGTTAAGGATACGGATTTTAAAAGTGTAGTCTTTATTCCCATGCTTCTTTCTATGTTTGGACAGTTATTTTGTCTACAATGTTACAGCTTCTCATGTACTGATCAAAAAAAGATGTTTTGTTTAAAGATGTTTTATACTTTTCTTTAAAAATTAATAAAGTTGTATCTTAATCAAGATACTCTACTTCAAATTATGTATGGGGATAATTAAAATGAAGAGCAGACCAGAAAATCGCTAGGACCAGAAAAAAGGCAGAGATAATCAGTTGATCCTTTTGTTTCTTTTGCCATTATTCTCGATATGAGGCTACAGAGGCACTGTAATGACACAAATGTGTGTGCCTTGATCAATTGCTTTATATTCAAGGTGGAGAAAAATTTTTAATCACAGTGACAATTCGTAGGAGACATAAGCCAAAAAATTAGCTAATCATGAAGTCCAGATGAAATCTACCTGAGTGTACTTAAATAAATAAAAATGCTGATCTTCAAAAAAAAATGCAATGCCACACAACCTAAGTTTCATGCCATAAGAACAGAAAGTAGCAAACTGACAAGCATTTTTTTAATTAAAAAAATCAATCTAGAACAGGTTCTCAAACTGTGCTCTGCAGGGGCTGGGGGGGAGGGGGCTCCCCTCTGCGTAGGAAGTGCAAGGCTTCCTCTGCACCACTGGTCAGGAAGGCTAAGAAACCTCCCCACCACTTTGACTAACTTTCCTGCAAGGCAGAAGCAGGTTGGACTGGGTGATCTCTGGGTTGCTACTTCTATTCTTCTTCTTCTTCTTCTTGCAAAGGCTGCACAGCCATCTGTTGGGGGAGTGCTTTAACTGTGATTTTCCTGCAAGGCAGAAGCAGGTTGGATTGGGTGGTGCATGGGTTAGTCCTTCTAATGTTGTTGTTGATGTTATTATATTGCAAAGGCTACATAGCAATCAGTTGGGGTGCTTTGACTGTGATTTTCCTACCTGACAGGAGGAGGCTGGACTGGAAGGCCCCTGGGGTCTTCCACTGAAATGCTGTTAAGTTTATGTTGATTAAAATTGTTCTTCATTTTAAATATTGTATTGCTCTGTCTTTCTGTTTTGCACTAAAAATAAGATGTGCATAGGAATTTGTTCATTTTTTTTCCATTTGTTCACACAAACATTCTCCATCCATTTGCCACTGGCCCAGCCAATCTGTCAAATTTTAAAATGCAATGCAGCCTCTGTGTCCAAAAACTTCTTGGGGTTCTACAAAAAGCTTTTCCTTCAAAAAGGGCTCCACAGCTTTAAAAGCTTGAGAACCCCTGATCTAGAAAACAACAGAGTGTTAGTTTAATCACAGGCCTCTGTGATTCGGTTGTTTCATTTTGACCTTTGCATTAAAACATGACATACTTGGTCTTTGTACTAGCAGCATTCCATACTATCTGATGAAAGTGGTTTCTAGATTGCAGAGGTTTGTGCTACAATAAGTCTGCTTATCTAGGTTGACATAAGCCTCTTGATTTGTGTGAGCCTTAGTGGAACAAAGAGCAAGACAAACAGAATACTTGATGAACATTGTTGCTCAGTTCAGCTGATTCTCTGTATAAGGTGCTCAGTAAGGCTAAACATTTTTATTGATAGAGAATCTGCTCAGAAATATTTGTATTTTCAAAATATATTTGTATTTTCAAAAATTACCACTTTCCTCTATGTCTACTTAATGATGCTTCGGGGTGGGCAAATGCCAGAGGCTGAGAGACAGTACTGACCTCCCATAGGATCTCAGAGCACTACACATACCTTGCTTTTGTTCAATGTTTATGTTTTAATTTTTTCTGCATCTCCTAGACCAGTGAATCACAAACACTAGTTCTCCAGTTGCTTTGGCCTTACTCCTAAAAGCCGCAGCCAGCCATGTCAATGATCAGTGAATCTGGACATCTGAAGGACCTAAGTTGAAGATCCACTGCTCTAGAGAGATGTAGGAAGCACTTTCCCCAAGGTCTTGACCCTCATAGGACTTTTAAAACTAGAGCTGCAAAATTACTAACAATATGTCTGTAATAAAAATCAGCAAATTCTGGCAGCTGGAAACTCTTAAGGACCTAAAAATTGGTCTTGAGACCCAAATGCTCAAGTATTCAGGTGTCCACTTAACTGAAGGTCATGTTCAATTAATCTACAATAAAATCTGTCACAGATGCAACAATATGAAAACAAAATTATATCACCATGCCCTCACTTTGTTGGACATCCTTACAGAATCCAGCCTAGGGAAAGCTTTAATGCACTTCATCCATAACATTTTAAATCTGAATTCATGCTAGTATTTGATTAAAAAGATTATACTAGTTTCCAAACAAAATTCCGCTTTAGGGATTTTGCAATATAATCTTATGAAAACTGAATAAAAATATAGACCATTAAGTTTACATAGGCTTGGGTAAGTGGGTAAAGGACTACAGTATGAAAGCATAAATGACCCAAATACCTGTTGGGCAACCTGAACTGAGAAATATGGATCTCTTTATAGCCCTTCTAGGAATTTGTATGTTGTCCTTTGTTAAGTGTTAGTCACTTTAACAGCCATTTATCAGTAATTACAATATATCTCTGTTTAGATTTTGAGATTAATTCCTAAATAAGTGTGGAGCAGGCCATTTTCAGAATGCATTCCTATCGAGACTTGAAAATAATTATGCCCAATGTGCTCTCTAATATACCAGAAATAGGACAACCTTTCTCCTTATCTTCAAGAATTAGCTTGGGTGGGGTGTTACTGGATGAGTGCCTGGATGTTTTCCTGACAGATATAGCCTAGCCACAGTAGCCCATGCACTGGTAAACTCCCAACTAAATAAATGTGCTTTACATGGAGCTGCCCTTGTAAAAGCTGCAGGTAGTGCAAAATACAGCAGCTCAACTCTGACTGGCACATCTATATAAATAAAAATGTAATGTTCATTTGTGGGATTCACATAACTCAAAAACCACTAAACGAATTGACACCAAATTTGGACACAATACGCCTATCAAGCCAACAAATGACCATCACTCATAAAAACACTAAAAAACACAGCAGAAGAGGCTTAAAAGCCAAAAAACAAAAATCACATTACAACACATGCGCAGGACCACATATATATACGCAAACACACATATACACCTATACACCAATATAGATACACACAAAACACATATACACAGACTGGGCTGCAGCAATGCGCGGCAGGGGACGACTAGTACATCATATAAATGTCATGTAAAAGAATTGTCAATATGTTTCCAGCTGGAATTTAAGATGATTGTGATGCTAATTTAAAGTCCTACATGGCTCAGGATTTTGATATTTGAGAGCTCCTCCATTTCCCTTCAGTAAGGTCATGGGAGGGGGCTTTCTCAGGCAAAGTACACCAACCATAGAATACTCTCCTCCTGACTGTTACCAGCACTCACTTCAGTCAGGCATTTGACATGTTTTTCAGGCTCTTTGGGCCTCATTAACTCATCCCAAATGGTTTAGAAATGTTTCCATCTCTTAAATCTCTTTTAACTCATATTTTAATATATTTTGGTTTATTCAAATTATTTTAAAGTTTCAAACTCTTTTAACCTTAATCCTGTTATTTTTTGTATAGGACAGGTATAATTACTGTAATCAAAACATAAATAACTTATTCACCATACATGCTATTACAAGCTAAATACACCCTTCTGGTTTCCAGTTGAAAAAAAAGCTAATAAGTATTCTTGTAATTCATCTCTAAATCTGCTACAATTTTATCAAGGATATCTAATCCCTGAAGAATATGCGTAGAGCTTTACAGGGAAAATCTGAAACTGAAAGAAGTTTCCCTTCACTAAAGCATATACAATTCAACAAGGAAACATGGTTACGTGATTTAAAAGATTCATTTACAGGCCACATAACTCTCTTATCAGCAAGGAGTAGCCACAAGTGTTTGGTTACTTAGTAAATAAATAATCATGAATGACTTGAATGCATATACACCCCAAAAATCCACTACGGTAGGCCTCCACAACCTGTGACCCTCAAGGTGTTTGAGAGATTGTTTCCAGAATTCCTGATTTTTGGACAAGTTGGCTAGGGCTTCTGGTAGTTGGGAGTTCCAAAGCCCTCTGAAGCAAAAGCTATTTGGATCAGAGCAAGCTATACACCTCATCAATTGCAGATTTGAAAGCAGAAACCAAACTTTAGCCAAGAGAACACTGCTATACTGATCGCACTATCTTGTTTCCTCCCTCTGCCTGCTTATAGTCAAGGTGGGGGATAAGCTCTTACAGGGTTGGATGCACTTCATTTTGCTGTTTTTTCTCCAGAATTTGTGGCTGTATGTCCATTCAAGGCATTTCATACTTACAGTGAACCTATCATATGGTTTTCTTGGCAAAATTTGTTGAGAGAAGGGGTTGCCGTGGCTTTTTTGAGAGGCTAAGAGAGTGTGACTGGCCCAAAGTCACCCAACGGGTTTCCATGGCCAAGTGAAGATTTGAACCCTGGTCCCAACACTCAAAAACCACTATACCACATTGGCTTTGCGTGCTATGTTACCTCAGGGAAAAGGTGAGAGGGAAAGGGATTGATGTTCACCCTTTCTGTGTCAGTCCGTACTTGCCTCCACTTCGGGTCTTTCAGCCACAAGGGCAATTAATGAAGTTTGATCCCACTTTAATTGCCATGGCTCAATGCTGTAGATTCAAGGGAGTTGTGGTTTTCAGAATATCTTTAGACTGATTGTGCCTTACCAAACTACAAATCCTATGTTAAAGCAGAGCCAGGCTGCATTATATCTACAGTGTAGATGCAGCCATAATCCAATGCACAAACTAGCACATCATTCGGGCCCCGTCTACTGAATTGCTTCAGTGAAAGTAATATTGCTATTGCATGTTGGGAAATCCATACACTAGTCTCTCCATTAAGTGGAGCTCTCAAACAACCAGCAGAAATATCAAAAATATATACTTTAAATAAAAGAGCTGTTTTCATAATATAGTAAAACAGAATTATGACTGTGTGACATTAAGTTTCTTTTTTTTTTTGCTTTTATAATTACTGTATTTAATATTACTGTATTTACTCTATTCTAATGTACCACTGAATCTAATTTGCCCCTCAATTTTCAAACTCTGAAACCAAAAAAAGAAAAAGGATTTGCTGGTAAATATAATGTGCAGTAGCAAAAATGCACTCTTTGTAATCTGGTCAAAATTACATGCTTAGATTTGATTTTTTAAAAACAAAAGTGTTAGAACACCATGGCTTTTAGCAATTGAAAGGAAAACCTTAGGATGCATCTGTGCTGTAAAATGAATCCACTTTAACAGCCTTGGCTCAATGTTAGAAATCATGTATCTTTACAAGGTCTTGAGCTTTCTTTACCAAAGAATGCTAGTGGCTTGCCAAACTACAAATTCCAGGACTGCATAGCATTAAGCCTGGCAATCAAATTTGAGGTGACATCCCTCAAATAAGAGCTCCGGGTGCAACTTCTGAAACAGCTTCCTCTTTTGCTTTGGATCAGCACCAAGATTACCAAATTACGCAAATCCAATGCACACCCTAGTGCAGCCAAAAAAGGTAAGCATTACATTCAAGTAAATATTATAATATCCAGTCACTACAGAGTTTGTGGCATGGTATAGTATGGTATGGAGTTTATTATCAGTTAGGCCTATTTTAATAGCACCTCTCAAACAACCAGAAACTAAATTTATCTGGCATCCAAAATAATAAAATTTTACAATTTTAAACCAAGGTGCCATTCTATCCCCAATGTTCTTTAATATTTACTATGAAGCCACTGGGAGAGATCATCCATAAACATGGGCAAGGTGATCTCTCTGAGTGGCTTTATAGTCAATATTAAAGAACACTGGGGATAAAATGGCACCTTGGTTAAAAATTGTAAAATATGCTGATGACACCAAAATATATTTCTCCGTGCCTTCAAAAACAGCTTCAGCTATGGATACTGTGTCTCCTCTGAATGAATGCCTGGAGCAGGTAATGGGCTGGATGAGGAAGAACAAATTGAAACTGAATTCAGACAAAAAAGAATTGGTTGCCATCAAGGGTCCTAATCTGGGGATGGAGATATGTCAATCAGTTCTGGATGGGTTTACTGTCTTCACAGCTTGGGAGTACTCCTGAATCTGTCTCTCCAAATGTCAGCCCAGGTAGATGCAATGGTCAGGAGTGCTTACTATCACCTTTGGCTGATACACTAGCTGTGCTCCTTCCTAGATTTGGAGGACCTGAAGATGGTAGTGCACGTGGCTAGTAATCTCAAAGTTGGAGATTACTAGTCATAGATTTATTCCTGCAATCTTACCCAGTCAGTCTTTCAACACATATACACACAGAAAACACATATACACAGACTGGGCCACAGCAGCATGTGGCAGGGGACAGCTAGTCTATATAAATAAAAATGTAATGTTCGTTTGTGGGATTAACAGAACTCAAAAACCACTGGGAATTGACACCAAATTTGGACACAAGACACCTAACAACCCAATGTATGTCCTTCACTTAAAAAAAATGATTTTGTCATTTGGGAGTTGTAGTTGCTGGGATTTATAGTTCACCTACAATCAAAGAGCATTCTGAACCCCACCAACATGGAATTGAACCAAACTTGGCACACAGTTCTCCCATGACCAACAGAAAATACTGGAAGGGTTTGGTGGGTAATGTCCTTTGGTTTTGGAGATCACTGTGGACTCAAACAACGATGGATCTGGACCAAACTCTACACAAATACTCAATATGTCCAAATGTGAACACTGGTGGAGTTTGGGGAAAATAGAATCTTGACATTTGGGAGTTGTAGTTGCTGGGATTTATAGTTCACCTACAATCACGGAGCATTCTGAACCCCACCAATGATAGAATTGGGCCAAACTTCCCACACAGAACCCCCCCCCCTTGTGGGTCACAGCAACGCGGGGCAGGGGACGGCTAGTAATAAATAAAAGATTGGGAAGCCAAGTCCCATAAGGAATGGCTGAAGGAGCCAGGTGTATTTGGCCTGGTGATGCAAAGTTTAAGAAGGCATGACATGACAGCCATATTTAATTGTTTGAAACAATGTCACATTGAGGACGGAACAATCTTGATTTCTGCTTCTCTGGAGACGAAGACACGGAGCAATGGATTCAAATGACAGGAAAATGCAAGATACTCCACTTTGGCAGGAAAAACAAAATGTAAAGATACTGAATGGGGGACACCTGGCTCGAGAGCAGTACGTGTGAAAAAGATCTTGGAGTCCTCGTGGACAACAAGTTAAACATGAGCCAACAATGTGATGTGGCGGCAAAAAAAGCCAATGGGATTTTGGCCTGCATCCATAGAAGCATAGTATCTAGATCCAGGGAAGTAATGCTACCCCTTTTCCGCCTTGGTTAGATGACACCTGGAATATTGTGTCCAATTCTGGGCACCACAATTGAAGAGAGATGTTGACAAGCTGGAATGTGTCCAGAGGAGGGCAACTAAAATGATCAAGGGTCTGGAAAACAAGCCTTATGAGGAGCAGCTTAAGGAGTTGGACATGTTTAGCCTGAAGAAGAGAAGACTGAGAGGAGACATGATAGCCATGTATAAATATGTAAGAGGAAGTCACAGGGAAGAGGGAGCAAGCTTGTTTTCTGCTTCCCTGGAGACTAGGGCGCGGAACAATGGCTTCAAATGACAGGAAAGGCGATTCCATCTGAACATGAGGAAGAACTTCCTGACTGTGAGAGCCGTTCAGCAGTGGAACTCCCTGCCCCGGAGTGTGGTGGAGGCTCCTTCTTTGGAGGTTTTTAAACAGAGGCTAGATGGCCATCTATCAGGGGTGCTTTGAATGCAATATTCCTGCTTCTTGGCAGGGGGGTGGACTGGATGGCCCATGAGGTCTCTTCCAATTCTATGATTCTATGATTTCTGATGGGAAGAGCTCTTCCACATTATAATATGCCTACTGCAGCAGCATGAGCTGGAGTCCCCTGTATTTTCTTCCACGTCTTCCAGCGACAATCTCCTCCTTCCCCTCCGTGCTAAGCTTTCTTCCTCCTTTCGCCCGGCCATAATCCTCTCACAACTTACATAACGCCCCACACACAACAGATTAAGCACAGGCCCCTTTCGAGACTTCTCCCTCGGCCTCGTCAAGCGGCTCTTACCTGGCTTCCCCCTCGGAGCTAAGGTTACCCGCCTCCTTTGGAAGCAAACCCTCTGCTTCAGACAACAGGCCTGGTCCCTCAGCAAACGTACAACTAACACCAAGCGAAGGCCTCTCGGAGATCTCTCGCCTTCCGCCTCTCTTGGGAAAGGGGGACGGGGAGAAAAAGAACAGGCCGCACTAACCCCTCGCAAGCTCGCCAAACACACTCCAAGCGCCAAGAAACAGCCGTCAACCGACTAGGCCTCTCACCTCCTCAGACGCCGAAGGCTTCAACAACTGCGAACGCCAGCCGCCGCCATTACCGCCCTAGAACCCCGCCCACTCCCAGACGCCAGCGTCACTTCCGGCCCGCGGCGCTCGGGCTTTCCCCCGTCCTCTGCGCGTGACGTCAGCGAATCAACGTCGTGCGTGATGGCGCGTCATTGCTGCGTCCGGCCCTCTCATAACATCGCTCCCTCCCCTCGGAAAAGAGTGGTATTCCTCGTTACTCTTACAAGTAATTAATCCAACCTGCACCTTCAAACTGCATTATATGGTCCATGTAGATCAGGTAAGGGGAAACTTGGGCCCTCCAGGGGTTTGGGACTCCAACTCCCACCATTCCTAACAGCCTCAGGCCCCTTCCTTTTCCCCCTCAGCCTCTTAGGGGGAAAAGGAAGGGGCCTGAAGCTGTTAGGAATGGTGGCAGTTGGAGTCCCAAACACTTGGAGGGCCCAAGTTTCCTCATACCTGATATAGATTCATATAATGCAGCTCAATGCAGTTGAAAGGCATGTAACCATATAATGCATTTTCAAACGGTGTAAATGGGGTTGTTGGTGTTTACAATACTGCAAGGGAAATATTTATTATGTATTTGTTTGCAATAGTTATAACCTGCCTTTCTCAGCTATACAGCAACTCAAGGCGAGTTACAGATTGACACAATTCGATGCCAGGCATTCATAAAAGTGCCATTAAAAACAACCAACATTACAATATAAGACATATATAAACACTGTTAAAACATATCATCATCAGTGTCATCCTGCTAAAAACGTTACCCATTAACATCATCAGGTCATTCCATGTTCATCATTCATAGTTCCGTGTCATCTATTCTGCTGCATTCACAAAAGCTTGCTCAAAAGCGCCAAGCGTCTTTACTTTTTTTCGGAAAGTCAAGAGGGAGGAGGAGGCGATCTAATATCCCTGGGGAGAGAGTTCTATAGCGGGGGGCCACCACTGAGAAGGCCCTGTCCTTCGTATCTGCCAATCACATTTGTGAGGCACGTGGGATTGAGAGCAGGGCCTCCTCAAATGATCTTATGCTCCTAGATGGTTCATAGGAGGACATACATTTGGAGCCCCCGGTAGTACAGTGGGTTGCTGAGTTTGTTGACCAAAAGGTTGCAGGTTCGATTCCAGGGAGTGGCGTGAGCTTCCGCTGTAAGCCCTAGCATCTGCCAATCTAGCAGTTCGAAAACATTCAAAAGTGAGTAGATCAATAGGTACCGCTCCGGTGAGAAGGTAAGAGCACTCCATGCAGTCATGCCGGCCACATGACCTTGGAGGTGTCTATGGACAGCGCCGGCTCTTCGGCTTAGAAATGGAGATGAGCACCACACCCCAGGGTCAGACATGACTGGACTTGATGTCAGGGAACAACCTTTACCTTTACCTTAAGCTGGGCCGGAATCCTTTAGAGATAGTTTAATACTGGATTGAGGCCAATGTATATCATATGTGCCATATGTATCTCAACAGAACATGTCAAAATGTTTTGGAATATGGCTTAGAATAAATTGTGCATTTTTAACTTGAAATAGCTAGGAATGCCTTTGAAATAACTCTAAGGGAACTGTTTTTCTTCAAAATGATTCCGCCTCAACTGGTCCAATTCATCTTCTTACATCATTCCTCATTCTTTAGCATTGGTGGGGTTGCCTTATTCTCTTGGGCTCCATCTATGCTGACCATTTAATGCAGTTCGCAGCTAGTTTCAGACTGCGGCAGCTGAACAACAAACTCCCACAAAAGCACATGAAGGGAAGCCCTTAATGTGCATCACGATTCCGTACTTTGTGTAATCACCATCTAGGCCTCAAGCTGATTTGAGGATTTCCTATGTAAGCATCCACACAGCATGAGCACTTTCTTCAATACTGGTTTGACAATGCATTAAATTATAAATGTACATGTGCCCATGGTTGAGTACAGACAGTCCCCGACTTACAAATATCCTACTTACAAATGTCTCATAGTTAAAAACAGGACAAGGCAACAGGAAGAGAGAGAAATCTACCCCTAGGAGGGGAAATTCACTCATAAAAGAGTCATCTCCTGAAGGAGATTCCACCTTAACATTAAGAAGAACTTCCAAACTGTGAGAGATGTTCAGCAGTGGAACTCTGTGCCCCAGAGTGTGGTGGAGGCTCCTTCTTTGGAGGCTTTTAAACAGAAGCTGGATAGCCATGTGTTGGGGGTGCTTTGATGATTTTCCTGCTTCTTAGAGCAAAAATTAGAGTAAAGCTAAAATAACACTAAACTAAGTATCATGCTGAAGTACAACCAGAAGAACATCCCTATAGAATTTAAAGATTAAAAAAATTAAGGTGAAATAATTGATGTACACTTTTAAGCCCAATTGACCAGGAACCAGTAGCACGCTGGACTGAAATGAGGGACATTTCCATGAAGGAATGCAAAAAGACACTTTCTGCAGCCAAAAAGACATCAGAGTCAATTGACGACATGAAACTCTTCAAGTAGTCATGTTTATGTTGTTAGTATTGTTATTTTTGCCTATGTTGTGATTCTGTATGTGCTGGTGTTGATACTTGGAACCAGCTTGAGTCCCTTCAGGGAAATAGAGCGGTATATAAATAAAGTATTATTATTATTATTATTATTATTATTATTATTATTATTATTATTTATTGGCAGGGGGTTTGACTGGATGGCCCATGAGGTCTCTTCCAACTCTATGATTCTATAATCATGTGGAAAAGATGTCTCCACTGAAGCTGTTTCCCCAACAAACCATTTTTTAAAAAAATCCAATTATCACAGGGACACAAAGTGACGTGAAATCTTCTGAACAGTGGCACAGGCAGCAAAACAAACAGCATGGGGGTGTTAGCTCTTCCGTATGCTATCCAAAGCATGTGTGTGTATATATATACACACAGTAGAGTCTCGCTTATCCAACCTTCACTTATCCAACGTTCTCTATTATCCAATGCGGTCCAGGGTGTGAGAAAGAAAGAACTCTTGTCTGTTTTGGTGCTAAATTCATAAATACAGTAATTACTACATAACGTTACAGTGTACTGAGCTGCTTTTTCTGTCTATTTGTTGCAAAACAACATGTTTTGGTGCTTAATTTGTAAAATCATAATGTAATCATAAAGTAATTTGATATTTAATAGGCTTTTCCTTAATCCCTCCTTATTATCCAACATTTTTGCTATCCAAAATTCTGCCAGCCCTTTTATGTTGGATAAGTGAGACTCTACTGTGTGTGTGTGTGTGTGTGGAGTTACACTTTAAAAATGTACATGTTCCTACTTACATACAAATTCAGCTTAAGTACAAACCTACAGAACCTATCTTGTTCATAACTTGGGGACTGTCTGTACTGGATATGGACATGGTAGTAGTAGGTAGTCTGTTTCATTGCATTTCATTACACCCACCAGGTCAAGGGTAGAGACATTGTGGCCTGCAGATATTTTTAATTCCCAAGCAGCATGGGATTGTGAGAACTGCCATGTAAAAAACCTTTAACATGTTAAAGCATGTTAAAGGTTTTTTGTTTTGTTTTTGGTCATTTCCAGCTTTAATTCTGTATTGAATAATCAGTTGTTTCTCTGTGCTCTCATACAAATAACTGCATCTACAAAGGCAAAAAAAGTTTTGTTTCAACAGGCTACTTTTCTGAAAATTGTAACAACCAGAGACACGCAGATATAATTGTTTTACTATCTTATCAAACAGCAAAACATTAAAAAATGGCTGAATGGCAGTCTAAAAGTAAAAAAGTACTTTAAAATGCTTGCACAAACAGCTACAATCACAACTCCTTCAAAAATAATTTTAATACATTTTAAAGGATCATCTTGACCAGACTAAAACCTCAAGATGTAGCAGGAGTTGTAAATTAAACCTGGAGGAACTATTTGAAAGATCCATACAATGTATCTCCTATTTCTGGTGAATTACTATAATTTTTGAAAACCAATTGGGGCGGGGTGGGGAGAGAGAAAGATTCCAACACATTTCTCATTTCAAACTCTATTGTTTGTGGGTCCATCTTCACTGTATCTTGACATGACTTCAGATGTCATGGCTCGATGCTATGGAATTTGTAATTTGGCGAAGCACGAGCACTCTTTGGCAGATAATACTAAACTACACCCCCATGATTTCATTAGCCATGGCAGTTAACATTGTGTCAGACTGCATTCATTCTACAGTGTTCATACACCCTGTGTTCCTCCAAGTGGTTTCCTTCATGAAGCACTGAATGAAGATTTCACGTAGGTTCTCCTTTGACTTCCCCCATTATACTTTGGAAGGGAGGAAACTTTGCCTACATCCTCAGGCAAAAGAAAAGAAAGGGGTTAAATAAAAAGGATGAAACCTCAGGAATGCCCTGACCGGATATAGAGCTGAGAATTTCCACTAGAAGTAGTGCAACTCAGAAAAATAACATAATAGCCCAGAGTTTACCAGAAGAATTGAACCAGGTGGAAGAGCTCTACATTTTTTTCTTTCAACAGTTACAAAAGACAATATATTTTTATTTTACTCTCACTAGCTGTGTCATGTAATATAATTCTCCAATGTATATAAAGCAGTAGAAAGAAATCTACACAGTTGTATAACAGAGTTTGAGTTGATGGAATCATAAAGCATAATAATGATACTGTGTAATGGTACCAATGCAAAGCAGTACAGATCAATGCTTCATTATGGATGTAGTCTGGCTTTTGCGCCAGTCTTCCCAAAAAGCCTCGGGCTACTTTGAAATGTGAAAGGTATATATCAGTCATCACTTAAACAGGAGTTCATTTTTGGTGTTGCTATACAGTGTGCTTTATACGTCAGTTTTTCATCTAAAATAATTGAGCAGAAAATTAATCATGACATCACTTAGTATCTGCCTTTTTCAGTCATGAACGATGCTCCTGTTACAGACTCAATTAGACAATGTTTGATCCCTAGGCATTAAAACTAATTGTGGTACACATACTTTTATAAAGATGGAAGGCATCCCTTAGGAACATATTAGAAATAACGTATTGCTAGTATCACCTACACAGGAGAAAATCCTATGTGTATTTTGGAGATCTTTGCCAACACTTAATTAG